GTTTGCATGTGAGGGCCGTTGGAAATCCGCATGTTGCATGTAATGTGTCTCACCAAGAGCGATTCTTTGAAATGGGTCAGTACGCATTGTGAATGAATTTGTCCTCGCTTCTTACCCGAGCGTTTAAGAGGCTTTCAGTATTTGAATTTTGTAACTGAGGTTCCCCTTCATTTTTGAAGGTGGGGTTAATGAAACCGAAGCTTATGCGACCGTTACGCTACCGAAGTCGATGATCGCGATTACCTTCGTCGGCGCATTGAAAGTCTGGCGACAGAAATAAAGGCACAATACTGCAAAGTTGTGCGTGTCACGGAGGCCGTGCGGCACAGATACCTATCTTCCGTCCACATTTTGAACACTATTAGAGTTCCTGTCACACGAGGGGAAATGCGACATTTTGGCTGTATACGCAAATATGATAAACTATCCTAAATAACACTAAAATAATAGATTTTTCTTTTCTTTTTGTTCGTTAGATAAGTTGGCAATAATAGCAACAGGGTTAAACATTTAATGTAATATTTGGGCTATCGCTTTTGCAAAAAATTACCAATGATAAAGAACTTGTTTTTTTTTTCATAATTTTGAATGGAGTTCACACTAGTTCCTTTTGAACTCATGAATAACTTAATGTATTCTATCACCGGGTCCTGCAACGAAAATTTAACATTATATTATTTTTATTATTGATATTGTTGCTTTTTGTGTATAGGCAATTACTGACCACGCTTACGATTAAGGTGTGTAATTTTTCCAGGATCTGCTTTTCGCAGCGACGAGGGTGTTGAAGTGTGAATTATGAGATGATAGGATGATGATGATGATGATGAGGGGTATACCCATATATGGGTTTATTTTATATATATAAAATAACGCGTGCTCCATATATATATACAAAGTTATTGTCGTTTGTATATATATATAATGTCGACAATAACTTTGATATGTTCCAAAGATTTATTTGTCAAAGTTTCACTCTTCTACGATAATAATTTTCTGTTTTACAAGAAATAGATTTTGAATGAATAAAAGGCGATTTTAAACATACTTAATTTTGTTTTACTCATAATGAGTCAATTTACTTCGCAAAACACACTAAAATACAATAATACTGAATGAAAATATATCAAAAAATCGATTGGTAGCTTTTCCAATAGTAAATTTTTAGTCTCTACTAGTGAAAATGGCGGTTTTTTGAAAAATGTCAATTTTTTGTTAAAAAATTAGAACGTTCGTGTTGCTCATGTTTGTAAAATTATCAAACAACAATATAAGTATTTTTTTTAGATATACTTTCATAATATTAAACATTTTTGGGGGGGAATTGCATCTGAAACCATTTTTCATTGATTTTATTGGGTGCACACGTTTGCAGAGATACCTATAAATGAGATACCTATAAATATAGATACCTATAGAGATACCTATAAATGAGTAAAATAAATTTTACTCATTTCATAACTCATTTAGTTCGCTAAATTCATGGAAAACCACATATTTCTGAATAGAAATTGAATGAGAAATTATTGTGTGACATTTTCAAGCACAGAATTTTATTACATACTTGTGAAATTGGCGAATTTGCGAAAAAAAGTTACTTTTTAAATTAATTTTAAATTACTATTTTGAAACCTGTTTGAAAATTGTACTGTGAATTTGAATTAAGAAAATAGCTACCGCCAGAGTCGCGCTTCCGCAGTAAAGAGATCGATATTGTACTTCTCGACTTATAACATCGATTTCTAACCTATAATCTATTCGGGTGTTGAAGCCATCAAAACAAGAAGATCAAAATTTAATTGTTAAGAAGGTTCAGAAGAAACAATAAGGAAAACGAAGTAAAACATAGCTATGTGATACATTATTTGCTTCCTATAGTGAATTATAACAAACCACAGAATCAAACAAAGTATATAGTTCAAATATTTGGACAATATTACTGATACAGGTTCGTTTTTATTATAAAGTAATTGTAGAAATGTTTTTAAATGTTTAATAAACAAACTAATTTTCAGATGGCTTTTGTCATATTTGCTCAGAATTAGGTACCCAAAATGAGTTTGATTGTACTTCATCTTTGAGTTTCAATTACATTTCAGAAGAAAATAAACTAAAAACTAGTATTCAGAACCGGTAAGAGAACTCATATTTTAAAACTGTTTTAAAATCATTGTGTATTTTGTATGTCTGTATACCCGTATTTATCACGTAAATATAAATGTAAAAAATATGTAAATAACATTTTTTTACAGGTTTGAGTAATTAAAATCATCATTCAAAACTTTGTGTTGCTCACTTTCCTAAAGTATTTTGAAAATAATCAAAAGAAATGATTTTATCCCTACTCAAAACAGAAGAAACCTATTTCAAAAAGTCTTCGTGTAATATCTTCAGAAGTGGCAGAAGAAATTAAAGAAAAAGTTAACATTCATGTGGTGTCTGGTATGAAATACAGTGACACTTGTCGTAAAACGATTAACGAGAAATGTGTTAAAGTTGCTGAACAGTTTTCAGTTTCTGAAGCAAGTGGTACTCAAGATTCTTTATCGCAATCAATCTCAGATGCTGTGGTGTTATTTGTAACCCAAGAGTCAAATTATTCGAGTGCCGATTCACAAGAATGTCAGACTAAAGTATCTCAAGTTTTGGATTGTTTTAAAATATGTCCTGTAGAAGTTCGAGGAAAAAGTAATATTTTAAAGAGAAAGTATTTAAAAAGAAAACTAGAAGACGTTTCGGAAATATTAGGTAAAAATTAAAACTGCGTACGATTTAGATGATCAAATTGATTCTATATCTGAGAACATAAAACAAAACAAAATTTTGATGAAATTGTAAATAATATTAAGATTGACATTGAAACGAGTAATGTTAGGTCAAAGTTACAGTTGTAAACATTAGTGCCGAGTTTGAAAAAAAAGAAATGCAGGATTGTTTAGGAATATCTTGTACGATAGCTGAGTCTGCTAGAAATTTGGTTAAAGAAAAAGGTATTTACGCGTTACCAGATAAAAAGATAGGTAGCAATGTCAGAAGAAGAAAAACAAAAAATTATAAATGATTATTGCGATGAAAGTAGTAGCGAAAATAAGCAGTACAAACAAAAGCAATTGTTATTATTGACTTCAAGAGAATTGTATACAGTGTATAAACTTGAAAACCAAGAAAGTAAAATCAGTATGTCAAATTTTTCTTCTCTTCGCCTAAAATGGTGTGTCCTCGCTGGCTCTTCAGGAACACATTCAGTTTGCGTATGTACTATTCATCAAAATGTCGAATTGCAGCTATTTACGCTTAATTCCGACATTTCTTTGAATGATATAATAACAAAACTTGTTTGTAAAGTAAAAAAGCAAGACTGCATAATACGCAAGTGTTTGGAGTGTTCTAAACGAGATGTAAATACAATTTTAACAAATTTGTTTTTAAACACATTTGAAGAAGAGTAAATGTGTGAAGAAGATGAAGATGATAATATAAAGCTCAAACAGTGGGTTTCCACTGATAGAACTGATTTAATTACACAGCTCACATCAAAACAAGAATTATTTGAACTTCTCCGTAATTCTATGATTAAACTCATACCGCATGGTTTTGTAACTAATGAGCAATACAAACACTTGCGTAGTTTAAAAGATAACCTTACAGAAAAATAATGTATAGTTCTAATGGTTTTTGTGAAAATTATAATTTCATTGCACAGGATCAAGAGCAAGCATATTACTGGACGAAAATGCATGCACTGTGCATCCAGTTATAATTTACTTCAGAGAAAACGAGGAATTAAAACATCAATGCCTTTGTTATTTATCAGATGACATAAAACATGATGTGCAAAATGTTCGTATTTTTCAAAACAAAATTAATAATAACTTAAAAGAAAATTGTCCAAACGTAGAAACAATTCACTATTTCAGTGACGGATGCCCGGGACAATATAGAAACTATTATAACTTCTTGCGCTTATGTGAGCATAAAAAGTTGTATAATATGAATGCTACTTGGAAATTTTTTGCTACCTCTCATGGTAAAATTAAGAACGATGGTGTGGGTGCTACTGTTAAACGAGAGACAACCAAGGAAAGTTTGTGCAGTCAGTATGATAATCAGATTACAGACATTGACCAATTATTAGAGTTTTGTAAAAATCACATTAAAAACATCCAGTCTGAAATTGTTAGAAAAACTGAAAACTGAAGTCCCACCCCATGGAACATAGGATCAGAAACAGGAAAAGATAATGTCCCGTCGCGCCGGATACAGGACCGCCAGACGAATGAAATGGAAAAATGAAAGGGCAGCAAAGAGTTGCTATTTATTGTAAAACAAATACACAAATACGATTTTAATTTTTTCTTTAAATTATTCGAAGGATAAAGAAAAGGACGCTTTAAAAATAGCACAGGCTTCACTTTGTTGATTCTATGATTTTTCATAAATTGCAAAAGTCAAAATAAATGTAAACAAAAATTGTTCTGTTGAAGCACAACTATTCTGAGCCGTATGCAAAATCACTTTTTATCACTTTCAAAGAACGACTACACACATTTTTTCGAATGAACTGATTATTTTTGATGTGCATGACCTTAATTAATTTTGCACAAGGTCAAAAAACCAAATAACAATGGGAACGTGGATATTTGGTGCTACGTCATTTAAGGAACTGCGTGTATCGCAACCCGCTTTTGAGAGTTCATGATCCAAAGGTTTGGGATCATTCCTTACCCTACATTATTGTTCTAGGTCTGTGTCCTCAATTCTCACTTCAGATGCGCGTGCGCGTATTTGTTCTGCACTCGAGATCCAATATCGTGCAATCTAACATTGCGCAACGCCAACCACTCCTGGATGTCTGAGGTGATGGGTTCGTTTTTCCCAACTCTCGCGGGCGCGCGCGGAGCGTTGAACCAATGGCGCGCAGGGCGTTATCGAAGGCCGCGTGCACGCCCTCAGCCCGTAGCTATTTGACGGCGCGCGGAAGGACCTCCGCCAGTCCCGAACTTCGTGCCAACCATGAAGCTCTTCCTGGTCGCTCTCCTGGCGGCGGTCGCGGCCGCGGCAGCGTCCCCTGTGAGTGCTCTGCCCTCAAACATTTTATACTTACAGGCCTATTTCAGGCGACAGATTCAGTGGTGATAATTGATGATGGGATGAAACTAACGACCAAGCAATTCGAATTTTAAAACTTATCAGCATTCAGGTGGAATAATTTATTTTTATTTTTACTTCTGAAGTTACGTCAAAATAATTTCGAAAAATGATCAAATAATGTTTTGTAAAATTTATGTTTGTCGAAACATCAGTAGTAGAAATACAAATAAATAATTCCAACTGAATACTGAGTAGTTTTAAACTTCAAATCCATGTGTTAGGTGCGTTAATCCCTTCAACTTACAAACATCTGGTTACTTAACTAAGATTATTTTACAGGTTATTTTATTGTCACCAGGACAATTGGTAGGACAAGGTTAATTGAGAGTCTGAATGCAATAATAAGGTTAGTGGCAAACGCCGCTCCTGTGAGAAATGAAATTTAATATTTAAAACTCAAATAGAAAAAAATTAAAAATAATAATATTGGGTTAGCTTGTTCAGTAAACAAAATATTATACTGTTAACAGATTTTCTAACTTTTTGACGCTATAATTTCTGTATAAACAAAAATATTTCCAATGTATTAGTATTCCCACTGAAGTTTTCTTGGGGAGAAAGACATTCTTTTAGACTTGTGTTTTCTTGTATTATCATAAGGTAAATTGAAAAATAATATCTAACATGCCATAGAAATATAAAACAAGATTGAATCATTTCCTGACACGTACTTTTTCTTATTATGACTTACATTCTTCTTCAAAAATGTTGTTTTGTGAACAATTTAAAATCTGGTAATACCTATCTACAGTCTTATGTTTAAGGTACATACTCAAAAACAGAAATCTAACTCTCTTTAAGATTTTACATCATGCTTGTAAAAGTTTACAATTTTAAACAGAATGAGAGTATAATGAGAATGATACCCCAATAATCCAAAATGCGCGTGCATTCCCTCCCTACAAGTTTGCACCAACACCCATAACGTTTGAAGGACACCGCAATGGTTTAATCCCGTGTAAGGAAATTTCTGTGTTCTTTGAAATATTTTTTTTATTTTTCATAGAAATATTTAATACGAACATTAAATTAGGAATTATGATTAATTTTACTTTGAGAAAATAACTAGAAGATTTTAGGCCTGGGGTTTCCAACTTGCAAGGCTTCGAGGTCTACAACTAAACCCATTCGCATTGTTGCTGGCCATATTACATAATTCGGGCGATCTACACTTGATATCCCCGTATTCATGATCTCGGCAGTTTGCCCGGCTGCTCAGAAACGGGGAGGGAGCGATGAAAGCATGCGTGATATCAGGCCGTACCATGCGTAACGTAATGAAACACATTGGGATGGTTTTGAATTTCTGAATTTACTAGAAAAGTTCTTAAATCTAAACTTATCCTACTTTTACATCAACGGTGTTGACCCTGACAAGGCGCGTGTACTAAGCGCAATTTTCTCGCCGGACATTGTGTATGCGGCCAGCGGGTCGCCAGTTGGACAGCCTTGTTTTAGGGGTCATTACTAACGAAAATGAGTATTAACGTGAAAACATGTCAATTTTTTTTTGAAGTGAAGTATTTTTGAAATTATATTTTGTATTTTTGTACTTTGACCCCCATAATAACCAATAGAAAATGCATGAAAAGGAAATTGTAATGGCATTACATGAATTTTGCAATTGCGCTCGCTGGAAAACAATTCATTCCTCTAGTTTGCTCTACATAATATGCTTTGTGTGAAGACAATGATACGGATTTATCATGCTTGAACCAAATTTCAGTTTAATGTAAATGTAAAATTTTGCATGAATTATCTTTATTTGAATAAAATTAGAATTGTGTTAGTGAAATGGAACAACTTTTTCTTGTTGCAACTCACTAAGAGTTTTGAGGACGTTAAATTTAAATGTTCATCATTAAATGAGAGACATTTCAGGCGATATAAACAAGAGAGGACGATTGTCTGAAAATAACTTATGTTTCCGTATTGTTTATGAGGAACTCATACCCATTCAAAAATTCATCTTTCCATGTTGGCGTTTGATCTTCTGTATCGTAGATTCTACCAAGAACTTGATTCGTTAGAAAGTCGAAAGTCGAAAATTCTGCATACGTCAGTGACACCTGTGAATAATCTGCATGTACTAGTGGTACTACAATTGCACATATTTTCTTGAGTTATTAGTAAGAGTTAGGGAAAAATTTTATATTGCGACTTCTAATCTACTAATGCTTTAGCCATCTCTTGAAAAACTAAATACACCGAGCGGCTGAGATTGAAAATAAAGTACTCATTTAGAGTATGTGAAATTTAAAAAGTTACATGGAAATGGATTTCTTCTATTAAATTTATTGAGTTCTATTCTTTCATAAACAATGTAAAAATATTGAATACAAATGAGATTCGAACTCGAGTACCAACGAACATTACGTGCTGTCATTTGCGCTATTCTGATTGTATCGTACTCCCACTCTTTATTGTGCCAAAATGAATTCATGTTTTGGAGATACTTGCGCATTAAAACTCAAAATTAGGCAAAAGTTTTAAAAGTGTACACAACATGATATAAAAATCTAATATTTAGAAATAGTCTGAATTAAGAGAGAAATCTCTTGTTTCAGTGTGGTGGTAATCAGATCACCTCCCCCCAAAAGTAGATTTTTTCAATTCTAAAAATTCGAGAGATTTTGTTAGAAATTGGGAATACGCTATATAATTCAACGAACCTTACTTAATTTGGGCAAAAAATTGAAAGAAAAAATTAGAGCTGTTCTTTGGAAAATCTTGTTTATTGATTTTTAAATTTGCGACGATTTCACTCAAAATTAGGTGACGACTACTAATATTTTCAAAAAAATGTACAAAATATTATTTAGAGATATAATTTTGAAGAACAAGCTTCATAGAAATAGAAACTTCTGTCTTCAACAATGAGATAGGATGCCGCAAAATAAAAAAATAAACTTGTATTATTTCGAAAATTTGTGTTTTAATGAAAATCGGATCTGCGTTATATTTATAAATGTACATTCTCTATATGAGAAAAAATGAAGAACAAAATTTGAAAGAATTTTTGAGAAAGTTTCGAAAATAGTGTAAGAGCTTCGTGTAAAATACACACAAAAATTAAAATATCTTTTTCAGTTAAAACAAAGCCACAACATCAGTGATCTCAACAGGGTAATATAAATTTTTGGGAAATTTTTAATTTTTAAAAATTCATACAGTTTAGACTGCGTACCGTTTAGATGCTAATGCAAGAGTTTACAGTCCTCATACACTTGAGGAAAAACGTTTCCTTTATTTCGGACTCACATAACCTGAATTCTGACTACCCAAGGAATACTAGAAAATAATTTACTACACATCGGACCAATAAACATTTACATTTTTTGGTTAGGGACCCACAAAACGTATTTTTGTTTACCGAAATTGTGCTTTGTTTGATCGTCATTAGATATCATAATTTAGGGAGATACCGCTTAAAAAAGTATTCAGAAAATTGTTGCTTACGTTTACTCCATGTTACACTTATTTGACCGTAAATCGTTCTATAAAAGAAAGTATTTCACATTACATATGATTTTTATTGTAGGTTTGGCGTAATTCAAATAATTTCCATATCATGAATGCGTATGATGTATTTTTATTGAATCTAAAAAGTCCAGTCGATTATATTTGTTTCATAGAGTCTTGTTTGTTCTTGAATGATCTGAGCAGATTAATCATTATCCAGTTTACTCCACGCATGGATGAGGAATTTATAATCTTGACACTCCTGGCTGTGTTGGAAAATTATTTTAGTTCCCATATTTGCGGTCTTTGATCATTTAGTAAAGTCGTTTTCATTACCCCAGATATTTTCGGAGGATTTTATTTTTACAAGCTCTTAATCATGATTTTTAGACATGTGAGAACTTGGGCACGGCCACAGTGGAATTCCTATTCAGCAAAAATCTGTGGACCTCAATCGGAAACAAATTCTCATTCTAAGATTTCAACGGCTATCGAGATAGTACTTGCTCACACATCGAGATACCATAAACCATACACAATTTTCGATCTAGTATTAAATAATGGCGGTTTCAAAAGATAATATGATCGTTAAATGTGATTATTTTCAAGTGATTTAATTAAATTTTTATTATTTAGCTGGCCGCTTATGTTAGCTCAGCTCACTAAAGGAGAGGTCTATAACCATACATCTATTTGAAACAAAATAAATCTATGGATTCAAGACAAAACGTCATGCATAAGTACTCCAGGCACATACGTTTAGTATTATTTATGAAATGTGGAGTTGGAAATCGAAATAAAATGGTCCAAGTCCATTTTAGAGGTAAAAACGTACCGGCTGTGTTAAGGAAATATTTAATGTTTTTGTGATATAGGTAGTACTTGTTTGGAACTATGCTTGGAACTATTTAGGTAGTGCAAAAGCAGAAAACCTCATTAACTGGTCATTCCTGGAGCAGGAACAACACTGAGCATATTTTTTTATCTGAAATGAATTAAATGAATAAAAACTCGTGCAAGATACAATATAAGACACATTCATTGAGAAAATTAGTGTTTTAAAATTCTTTATAGGGTTTACATAAATCACAAAATTACTTTAAAATAAACGTATTTCCAAAATACCATCATCACAAAAGTTTCTGTCCGATGAATTTAGAATAATGACGTAGCAATTGTAAGCGAATAACCCACAAAGAATTTTCAAAAAGAATTTTACTTTAGAGAAATGCTAGATTGATTTTTTACCGATTCGGAATATACACAGAGATTAAATGTTTTCGAATATTTGTAAACTAAAAAATCAATAGTCACCCATAAAATATATATGATTACTGTTTTAATGTACAAGCTGAATATTGTTGAATTTGTCGGAATGAAATTCACCCTTCAGATTTTTATCTTATATTACCCACTATTTCTTATTTATCAATTGATCCATTTCTGTAGGATTTCTACGGAATTAAGATGTAATCCTTTAAAATATTTCATTTTTATTTGATTTTTGCAGTCTCCCATCGACTGGACCAAGGTTCAACCCATCCATGAAGTAAGCCCATCCCTCAAGGCCTACCATGAGAAGCTAGTCCAGAGTGGTAAGCACTACTCGGATAAACTCTTGCTTCACTTCAGCACCTTACCACACATGTCGTTGATGAACTGATAATGTGATAATAGTTCTTGGTCTGCTTGTCCTAGAGAGCTTGTCGAGTTCATCTGTTGAGTTCTATCGCAGTTCAAATAAAACGTAGGATTTTTTTTCGTAAAATGAAGAAATCAGTTACTTCAGAAAACAGGTGTATTAAAAAACGAGAATGTAGAAAAAGCTTTGAAAATATGAATACTATTAACGGAAGAATGTTTGCAATTATTAATACCCTCTCATTTACTTAAATGTTACAAGTGCAACACGTAAATAGCGGTCATATTAAGAATGCACCATCACCGGTAAAAGTTCGGATATATCTGCTTATTTGGTAACCATTTAAAACCCATTCTGCAATAAATAGTAAATTTATTGTTTTACTTAAGTTATTTATACATTAATAAGAGTTAATTTATTGTATTATTATGTAATTACACTCTTTTTTTCAAGTGTAGTTTATGAAAGTACTCATCTTTCATGGATTTCTTCATTATTATTCGCCTGTATGTAGTTGAATTAATATTTGATACTATATTATCAATTTAATGTTTCGTTTATCCAAATTTATAAATATATTTCTATAAACCTCTCATTCATGTCCATTATACTATAAGACTTCTTGCACCTGAAAACTAGGGTTTTGAAGTAACGGCTTATTATATTATCTTTGTTTACCAGAACCCTTCTTCCGCAAGACGTTTTGTGAATGTTAAGAGGGTAAAAGTGCAGCGCGACTGTTATCAACAACATTGTGTGCGAGCATTGTCAAGGAACGTTTCGTGTGAAAGTATAGCTAACGATCAGTTTGACGGCTTTTTTCTGTCAAAACTGCGCAAAACTATCATTTAAATATTTACGGCTTTATTTCATCTAGTACGTTACAAGAAATCACTTGTCTGTAAGAACAAAATTATTTCTGTCGGTCGGATTTTCAGAACAAAATCTATCAATTAAGAGAATTTTCACTCATAAGATAAATGCAATAAACAAAGGCTTGATGCTTGAGTATATTGTTATGTAGGAATTAATGCGTTAATGTTTACTCCTCGTTTTACTTTCTCGTGTACGTAGTATAGAGATTCTCTTGGCAAAAGAATCTTGGTATAACCATTTACGTTTGCGGCAAGAAAAAGAAGTTTACAAGAAATCTGGTAACCGTTTACGAGTGTTCTCGAAGAATTTTCACTTTCCCTGGTTGCTTACCCTATTTCCATCATTCTGCATCTGCATAAAAATCCATTTACAATTAATCTCTCGTGGGTGGTGCATCTCCTAAATCCCTCCATAAAGTGTATCATTTTATCCGTATAATATTTCCGTAGACAACTTTGTAGAGGTGCTTAGCTTTTAGTTCTTATAGTTGATACAAGAGCGTAGCGCGGGTGGTCACGCTGTGATGTTCGCAGGCATGCCGTACTCCACTCCCAACGGCCGTATCGTGGGCGGCATCGAGGCGAGCCCGCACTCCATTCCGTACCAGGTGGCTCTGCTGCTCGACACCGGCGCCGGCACCGCCTTCTGCGGCGGCTCCCTGCTCAACAACGAATGGGTGCTCACCGCCGCCCACTGCGCCGAAGTGTAAGAACACTTGCGAGCTCGGTGCCTCTGAAGCTCTATCTGCAGAACTGTCTAATGGTGCGAGGGGCGTGTTTTATTCCTGGACGAGTAAAGTCGCAATATTCTCTTTCATTCGCATTTCTAACTCATATACTAATACTGGCGCGGATCCAAGGGGGGGATTTCTCTTATTCCCTCCCCCCTGAACATTTTTAGTATTACTTTTAACTTCTCACGAAATTGCAAGCAAAAATATTTTCGGGTCATCATTAAAACGAATAAAATTGTTTCGCAGCATGAGCTGAGTGTAGCCTGCGATGTTTTACAAAATCTGTAATATACATATTTGGCGAAAACATCTTGAAATTCACCTCCCAAAATTTGACTCTGCATCTGCCCGTAATTAATCGAATTTCATTTATCAAAATGTCTCGCATTGGCGACAGGAATCAGGCGAAGTTAAGTAAAGGAACTCTGGAAACAATATTTTAACTGCAATTAATTTGTGAACAGGGAACAATAGCCAAGCCGTCAACAGTGCACATCCAAACAAACTGGTATTCAATAATGTAAAAGTCTAGTCCACAAATGCAAGCAAAAAGTATATATATATATATATATAATATATATTATATATTGTATATTCTTATATCGTTCTCTAACCCTAAGCAGGTTAAAGCAGTACTAAAAAAAGTTCAAGGGTATTAAAAACATTCTAAAATAAAGTCTTTGAATGAATTTAATGCAAATTTAATGAAAATCAACTAACTGAAAAATAAAAAAACGTGACGTAAACTTTACTATAGAAGCTCTGGATGAAACTTAAAGAACCGACTAGTAATTCACTTTAAAATTCAAAGGAAAATAAGCTAAGTTCTGAAGATACTGAACTGCTAAATTAACTGCACGGAAGCACAATAACCCAGGGAACATTTTTGGATAAAAGGAGGTGACGCTTGCCACGCCATCTTCACACCACTTCGAAAGTCATAATAAGGCCATCTAGAAATACCCGTTTTATGAACTGTACAGAGGACCACGGAAGTGGGTAGTAACGGAAAATGTTAAAAGAAAGGATTCCTACACCATTCTCTGGCCTATGTTAAACCCGTCCTTAAGGCAGGTTAAAGCAGAACTAAAAAATGCAAGGGTATAAAAAAATCATTCACAGTTTCCCCAGCGTGCTCCCGAACTGCGCTTGCACGTGCAAGCGTGTAGGGCGTTGCGAGAGCGTGTGGTGTCCCGCAGGGCGCAGAGCGTGACCGTCATCCTGGGCGCCCACAACGTCCAGGAGGAGGAGGCCGAGCAGGTGCGCCAGGTGTCCACGGGCATCGTCGTGCACCCCGCCTGGAACTCCCTGCTGCTGCAGAACGACATCGCCCTCATTCGCCTGCCCCAGCCCGTCACCTACAACGGTGAGTGCCGCTTGCCCTCTCGTGCGATAGGCCGCGTCGCCATCAGCGTCACGGCAACCCCTTCGCCTGGAGAGAATGGGGCCTGGATTGTTTGAACATTTTCACACCCTCAACTTCATTGTTATTATTCTTTTGTGCTGAATTTTAATTAACATTCTGAGATAACAAAATGCTTCCTAAATCATAAATACATTTTGGGACGGGAAACAGTATATTATGAAAAGTTGTCGTTGAATGATTTTAATGCGAATTAAATTACACGTTAACAGCCAATTGAAAAGTGAAAGAAAAAGTGACTCAAAATTTGTAAATGTTACATTACGTATCCAAGCGATGAATTTTAAGGCTGACGAATAATTTACCATACATTTTCAAGAAAAATAAGCTACGTAACTGCGCTACTGAACTGCTCAATTAACTGCAACTGAAGTTTAGCAACCCAGGGAACATTTTTGGAAAAAGAAGTTAATTGAAAGAGATTTAATAAGAAGAATAAAACTTAATAAGAAGAAATGAAAAGATTTAACAGCATTGTAGAATAGAAATCTACTTTTTCATATTTAAAAAATTCTTGAGTTCTGTTGATACGTACACAAGGCTTAGCGCTCTTCTTGCTTCTTGCTCATACAAACTTACCCGTGTTACGCCTCGCTCGAAAAAAATTGCAAGCAACGACTTAGGTAGCTTGGTATTCATTTCTATGAGCTTCTTCTAAAAGGTAGGCAGATGATTATTTTTCTTACATACTATTATGTATTCGTATCTCGTTCTTACATATTTCCTGGGCGTGATCGTCTTTTCGTAACTTAACCACATGTGCGTCCGTGAGGCACCTGCCTCACCGTTGGGCACAGACCATATTGCACTCTCAACTGTATCGGCTCTCACTGCCCCCTCTCGTGCCGTGGCAGCATAGACACATTTAACGTTATTAGAGCAATACGTATGGACAAATACACACAAATGGACGCACCTAGGCCGAATTGGTACCCACTACCCATGGATTCGAGACCGTAAAAGACCTCCCGCCGGAGTGGCTCCGGTTTACCCGGCCGGCGAACTGCTCATACTAATGAGACTATATTTTCAGAATTAGCACAACAGGAAATGGCATGGGTATAATAGTGTCAGTTTATTTTTATAAGATTCTAATTAAAATTCGTTAAAAGATTAAAGAGTTCTGCGCAATTCTTCTAGACCCTGATTATCATTATAAATATGCATTATTTTTTTCTTAAAGTGTATTTACATTAGAAAACTATGCAGCCTCCGGCTATGTGAGAGGTGTTTATAGTTTTGCCAAATACCTAGGAATTCAGGGAAAATTCCAAAAACAATAAAACAGTTTCGCTTTTGACTCTAAAATGCAAATATTTGATTTAATTACTCTTGTATTGAGCGAACCGAATGAATCCTCATAATAATTGCGTTACTGCTACGTCACAGCTTTCATTCATTGGCGAGGTTAGAATTAATAGGTTCGTAATTCATTTGAGCTATTGCTCTTTATTTTTCAGCGAACATCCAACCCATCCGCCTTCCTCGCAGGTCTGAGTCCAGCCAGACCTTCAACAAGGAGATCACTCTCGCCAGTGGCTGGGGAAAGCCCACCGACAGTGAGTAATTTCTCATGTAGAGTACCCAGGATTGTGTTGCGCCCCGAAGGAACTGCAGTGTCGATATATTCGGAATTACTCAGTGATAAGGATCTATCGCTAACCTTATTCGCTTAGAACCTATTTCTGAGAGAAAAGCAAGGAAGTAACTGAATTTAAATGGAACTATAATCATTACACGCGACGACTGTCCAGTGTCTTTTGTTCTGTCTTCGGTGTAGTCGCATTTTCCTTCTAGAAACGCTTGTGACTCGCGTGCAACCGAAGATGGAGAGGCAATGTTCGGGAGGATTCGCAGTTTAGTAGTGAGGGCACAAGTTTAAATGCGCGACCCAACAGTAATGTGAAAATTCAAATAACGGGTAGAAAGAACATGAAGGGCTAATATGTTTTCTATTGCAGGACTAATGTGCATTCAATGTTTAAAACATAATAACAGATAATAACTAATTAGGAGAAAAATGTATAATACTGGGGTGAGCAATATTGTCACGAGTTCAAATAAACGAAACTATATATAATAATATATGACATTGTATTGTTTTTATAGTACCTGATGATGGGAACAAGACAGGACGGGATATTAAAGAAACTATTTTACGTGATTTTCCCAATTTCTTATCCACAATAAATCACTGTCTATACATATAAACGGATCATACTTACGTAATTATGTTTAATAATTTGATAGTCATAACATAAGAAATTAAAAATAATATGTTGTTGTTGCCCCGTCTATACGGTTGTCGTCATTACATTTATTCAGATAAATGTCAATACATTTCATAGTCATACGAATAATTCACTGAAGAATAAGTAGTTTACCGGCGATAAAATCACTGAGAGAGTAAAAGAAGACGAATTATTCAAAATAAAGGAAAAATTATGTTTGAGTAGACAACTCATAATAATCACAATAGTACGTAACTATTGAACTGTTACTGAAGGGCAAAACTTAAACCTGGCATATCATTTTAAAAGAGTTTGAAGTATTCTCCTTTTCCAAAATATTTTATATCATCAAAATAACCAATTCGTGATACTTATTTCATTTCTTCAAATAAAATATTTCGTATGTTATAAAATACATAAGTAGAGTTGAGAGACATAATAAATGGTTAAGAAATTTAACGTTTTTTTAGTATTGTCTTGTACAGCTCGCTAATTTCAAATACAGTGTAAGAATTACGACCTGAGTGCTCTTCCTTGAAACAAACCCAATCGCCGTGTGTTGCAGGCGCCACGGCCATCAGCCCCGTCCTCCGCTACGTGCGCAGCCCCGTCATTTCCAAGCTGTCCTGCAACCTGCAGTACTTCGGCGTCATCCAGGACTCGCACATCTGCACCTCTGGCAGCGGCGGCAAGAGCACCTGCAGTGTGAGTTAACCCTTGCAATGGCATGGTCGTGGTGTGGGTGTACGTTAAAGATATCACGGTGTAGCGTAGGGTTTTTCAAACTTCCTGCACATGTGGGACTATTGCAATAGTATCCTTGCTCTAAAATACCCATTATAATGTTATTATAATGAATTGCTATTAGAATATTTCTTTATTATTTACAAAACAGGCACATCATTACATACAATTTACAAATTCTATTGAGATAACAATTCACAAACCTTAAGAATTTTTAGAATAGTTTTATCTTTCTGAGATTCTTCAAACTAAAAAATGAATTTTTCAGAACTATGGTGTAGCAAATTTAATTTTTCTAAATCCTATGGTATCAATGTCCTAAACCCTTTGGGTTAGGGTGAGGATCCCAGAATTTTGGAAAACGTACACAGAATACAATTGTCCCTATAATACGTCACCGGCACTTTTTAATTGTTTTCGACGATAAATAATGATTGAAAGAATGAGAGTCGGGCAGAGTAAGGAGCGGCTGCGCCCGCTTGCCCACAGGGCGACAGCGGCGGCCCGCTGGTGCACGAGGAGAGCGACGGCGAGGTGTCGCAGCTGGGCGTGGTCTCCTTCGGCATCGCCTTCGGCTGCGAGATCGGCTGGCCCGCGGTCTTCACGCGCGTCACCTCCTTCGTGGACTGGATCAGCGCCGTCACCGGCGTCGAGGTCCGCGACTGAGCGCACGCCTCCTCTACGCGCTCGCGCATCCCCCTTGCCGTCGAGCAAATCAAGTAAAATGTGCGATTCGCGATCGCAACCTGTACCTCGTACACACTCGTGCACACTGTGAGATGTTTCTTCAATAAAAATGTTTATAAAAATAAACGTCATTTAAATAATCATTCCTTCTCTCCTTGAGACAAGAGTATGAGAGTAAGATTATTTACAAAAAATTAATCAAGCGAGCTGTTCTATCCGGTTGCTCACGGTGGGAGGGGTTTTTAGTAAATTTCTTATTTGGATAACACAAAACCAACGTTTGTCTGCAAATTACACGTCTGAAACTTCAATAAATATCTTACTCTCTTGTTTACGTGGAATAAAATTGAGTTGTGCTGGAAAGTTTCACGAAAAGACTTATTGGAGATACGAAAAAAACAACAAAAATTGCTTTATCTCAAAAACGTCTGTCTCTTCATGTGCCTATGAACAACACTAGCGTTAAAAGATGAAGACAAAGGATGCAGTAACCTTATTTAGAAAAAATAAAGAACGTGGTAGGGGTGAAAGACTCTTGAATCTCCCGCAACGACCGCAACGGCAGTGCGGGGGCAGAGCGCAGTTACGCCTTTCGCTGGCAGAGAGCGGGCATATTTCTAAATCGTAACCATGTATTCCTCAAGCTTCAGTCTTCGCATTGTCAGAATCTAGCCGTTCTAAATAGTTTGAATGGTGCTCACACACTAGGAGTCACTATGACGACCGTGTGAGCTGAGTGAAACTTTCTTGAAAGATTCCTCAAGGATGGAGCAATGGTTATGCACTTTTCACGAAAAGCATGAAGTATTTCAAATATTTTCTCTTTTCTCAGCTTAAAAAATTATGTTAGATGAAAATTTCATTGAATTCTTATTTGTGAAGAAAATGGGAGAATAATTTTCAGTAATCTTAGAATTGTTAATTGACTTGGTTTAACTCGGCACTCACATTACTTCGAATAAATTGGGATTTTGCAAATAGTTACTTGGTAGTATGGTCTTGGAAGAATATTTAGGTATGGTAGAATGGCCATGGCGAAGTCTTGTTCCGAGGTATGTCTGATAACCTACTACAGTGTATATCCAGTATATAGTGTATAACCGAAGATCGCTTGTGATTTAGTACGTACTACTGTTACAAATACCCAGTAATACGATCATATTGGAGGTGCGATCTGTTTGGTCCCGAAAATGTTAGGATTAACCGAAAAAGTGTGCCGTGTAAGTACAAATACATCTATAGGATTACAAGACAATTTAACGTAGCGTGCGATGTAAGAAAATGGGAACGTAGCATAGAGATTGCAAAATCTCTTCACATCATTCAGCAGATTCTTTTCCTTACAGCAAAATATTACCAATTTTGCGAGTTCCTCTAAGTGAAAATGACTGCTGCATAAACATATGATATACATTGTAGTTACCGGTGCTATAAACGTTTCATTTCGACAACTTGTTTCAATAATTGGCTAGCCTGAAACTAAAGTGGTCTATGGTACGAATTACAGTGTGACTCTAGACCACTTAAGAATTGAATATCATTAAAACCATCTGCCAATACTTAAGTGTTAATTTTATTATGTGTCACCTACAACCTATAAATGACACATAGACCACTCAAGAATGTATAGATACTTACCTGTTCAGATCAAATTTACCATAACCTGGATTTTAGCCAAAATATTTCATAGACCACTTCAGTTCCAGGCCATCCAATTAGTTGTTCACTTCTACAGTAATTATAAAATCCTTTCTTTACAATACAAGAAAACATTTTTTTTTCATTTTTCCATCATCCCGAATGTTTTTCGGATTAGCGGGGTTCGGATTATTGGGATTCGTATTGACGGGGTTATACTGTACTACTACTTGGCACATACAGGTTCTGCAATAAGTAATATATACAAAAGCAATAATTTGTTTATATTTCGTCATTTTTATGCATTACTAAGAATATAAATTTGTTGCCTGTGTATTGAAATTCCCATAATTACTTCAGCAAGTAGTACGTAAATAATGTTATGTTAACTTCAGTGAATGCTCTGCACATGTGTGTATTACACTAGTCTACAAAAAAACCTTTTTCTGTAACAAGAAAAAAACACAGATTCTGAAAGATAATTTGCATCTCAATCCAGATATATTTTCTGAATCGCTGTATCGGCCTCAGTTTTTATGTGATGATCGTTTTTTGCAAATTCCTATGTCATCCTGTGTATTAATATCTTCTGCAAAAGTGCACGCTTTAATAACAAGAAATTCAAATGTATACATTAAACACAACGTAAATGTTACGAAAAGTGAAAAAACACCCCTAATTTTTTTCTTTCCCGATTTCTTGCAATTCTTTGCCTCAGCCTACATTTGCCAGCAGTAGTAGCACAATACTACGTCTCTCAAATTGCCTTGAAAACGCTTTCCCATTTGAGGGATGTCCTAGTGGAAGCCATAAGGACTCGATACCACTAAAAAAACCTATGCCACTTTTTGGGAGAAATAGTTTACAAAAGTAGTTGGCGATCACGAAAAACCCTCAGTTTCGTACAAGGGAAAGAAAAAAATCCATCCTTTTAGACGCGCATCTAAAAGCTCACAGTTGCTTCGACAAAATGAGAACAAGATTGTTGAGACCCACTTGAGACAAAAAATATGATTCATCTGAGGCTTGAAATGTTGAGTCAGCATGGATATCTTCGTCTATCCGACTCTGTTGTCTAAATCTTCGTCATTGTAGCATTCGTCTTCACTCACAGTCATATTCTCAGGGGGTAGCGATACCGGCAACTCTTCTCTATGACGTACCGGCAGTGTTGTTCATTTTTGAGATGATTCCAGCTAATTTTGTCAGATAGAAATAACAGTCTATTGTGTGATTCATTGGCTCCCCCCAGATCATGGGAACATGATGAATATTCCTGAGGTTGGATAGGACAGGCCTTATGATGAACAGTACAGGGCATGTGTTATGTGCCATTTAACCAGCATGTCAGGAGTACACCACACGACACACAGGACAAATGGGGGCCCATTTCAGGTCCTGGTCACCAACATTACACCCGAAATAAAGATCGTAACGCTTCCTTATCAGAGTATTAAGGTTTAGTTTTTGCAATTGCAAAGTTGATTCTCCACAGATATAACAAAATGAATCTGGATAGTAATACACTTGCGAGGCTTTTTTCTTCTAAATTAACCCATTAAGTCCCATTGTTCCCTTTTGGGAACGCGTAGATTTATCGTTCTTGGAAGCGCTCTATCTCTTCCCTGATAATGAAACCATTATCAGGGAACAGATATCAATTTGCTCAATCTCAGGAACATTCAATCCGCTACTTTTGTTGTGAGGCTGTTTTGTTAGAGGAGTTAGCGTATCCAAAGTTTTTAAGAAGTCGTCCCCAGGCAATAATTTATTTTTAGTTCAGAAATGACAGTTTTCTACGGAAATCTGTACATGCAGGAACGTAAAGGAAACATTGAACAATACTTTTATGGTTATAAACAGTCGTAACTTCTGTTTATGCAGAGTATGTGAAAGTTATTTTACGATGTTTCCAATTGGGAACATAGTTTTACAAGAAATATTTAAGCGCGTAAGAAAATATCACACTAAGCCAAGAAAACGCGGAACCATTTAGTGTTTTATTGTGACGACTTAGGTTTCTATAATATCACTAATCGACACTCTAGATGCCAATTTCCCAATTATCTTACGAAAATCGAATGATTTATTTCATTCACATCTTGTTCATCTCGCGACACCATTTTTAGTAAACCTCACTGGGTGAAAATCTCAATGATCAAAAGAGGTAGCGGTCACCGTGGAACACGTGAGGAATGTGAGCCACTGTGATTTTTGGTGTGTCTGTGTTTGCCTGTAATTGTCTGTCAGGCAAATACAAATCTGTCTTTCCTAATTCTCTACGATGATTGACGACAACCGCTGCTTCAGAAGAAGGAACTTAACTGCCGTCCGTTGTTGTAAGCCTCTCTTTTGCACACATCTTTACGAATTTTTGTAAAATACTTTTTACTATTTACCTTTTGAGTGTTTTAAAAGCTCTGGGTTTGTACTTGTTAAACCTTGTAATATTATTGCTGAGCTAAGTACTTAATTAGGAAACTTTTACTCGTTAATAGAAATTACCATTTGAAATTTGAATTTACATTTTATGAAATTTATTTTCTTAAACCTATTTTATATAAAATGAAAATCATTACATTTATATAGAAATGGAAAAGGAAGACCGAAAATGAGGGAGCATATTAAGCAAACAGTATTCATACTGCAGTAACAATTTATTTGTAAACAAATATTTGTGCATTTTTACAATTTTCTAAACTACAAAATATAGATTTATTATTTATGGTATAACGACAGAATTACTAACAGTTCCTGATTTAACGTGTGCATATCTACACCTCTGGTCTTGTAATATTTTTCTATTACAAATAACTTTATTTTCAATTTTTCATTGCACAGACATGAATCTGAGCAACTGAACAGCCATGCAACTAGAATGTTTCATTTCTGCCTTATTTCATCCATAATCCCATGGAGGCAGAGAAATCATAAGACAATACTATGAATATAATAAGCGAGAAGAAAGCCATTGAGTCGTTACCACACAGGAGTTTAAGTTATGCATGAGCCTCGCGGGGATCCAGTTGAAACCAATGTACCTCGCAATGTCAGTCGACTTACAAGAAAAAGTACTTGTTGAGCGATGATAAAAACGCAAGTTAAGTAATTGGTAAATAAACACAAATATGTTTATGGTACTGCTCGAGCACGAATTGCTCCGTTGTTTGTAAGTGTAGTTTTTTGTTATCTACGTCAAATAAGTTTTAACAACACGTGAAACAAATGAAAATACATGAAATGTAAAACAAATTGCGTTAAATCAACTGCATACTTTTATATCTTCTTTATTTATACCCAATACTCTGTCCCAAGAAGACGCCGAACATGGAAACGAATGTTTATTTTCACTTTTCTCGAGCAGTAGAGTTGTTCCTCAAGCTCGCTGGTTGTGAACGAAGATGGTAAGTCATGAAAGTAGCCGTATTTAGAGCAACTATTTAAAATTCTTTAGTACAAAAACTTCACCAATCACGCGCACTAACATAATGATGTTTTCCGAGCATCTCATCAAGCTCGACAATGATGGTTGCGAAAATTACGCCGAGCAGGAAACAACTACTTTCACAACAGTACTTCTAAAATGTAAGCCAGCTTTTTCAACAATAACAAAGATATATTTCTTACGACTACAAAATTTTATTAAACAAATTCAATTAATTATAATTCATTATTTAATAACAATTTTTTAATTTAAAAATACTTTAAATTATTAGTGTTTTATAGAATTGAGAATATGATTAACGATAAAAGGGAATGTTTGCATGATGAGAATATTTTCCCTCTACATCGCAATGCGAAGAAGAGATCTGTGATCACAAACTCCTGTCTATCTAGATTTCTGGTTTCTGCATTACATCTACTACTCGATAATTAAGTGGTTATTAGTCTGTGAGCAATCGCTTATTGCCATTTCTCTTCACTCTTTCCGGAAAGAATTCATAGGTTCTCGAATAATCCAATCATTTTCGATGAGTTCTGGCAAGTATTCAATAAAATTAAAACGTCAGTTAGTGCCATTGATTGAAAAATGCTTTTCATTAGATTATCCTTTTAAAATTATTTTACATTATCAAACAAGTATTTATTGAAATGACATTTCGAAACGAGAGTTCGTACTTTACAATTACTTGTAATAAAAATGCATAAAATCAATGTTAGTAATTAGATGAGCCTCTGCCTAAATTTAGAAGATAAAAAACACTTTGCAAGGAGTTCGACATATTCAATTGTGAAGAGCGATCTATATATGCGTAATCCGTGAAATGGGCGACAAGAGAGTATAGAAAACAAGATAGCAGCGTGACAGTTTTCTGCCAAACACAAACAGATTTTAATTTAATTTGGAAGTCATTAGACTTTCTATTCTCTTGTTATATATGTATGTTTTCATGATATATGATCTTATGCGACCTTGTTAATTCATGTACATAATCAAGGAAATAGGTAGTCGGAATTGAAAACGCACATTGAACAAAGAAAGCCCTACAGCCCGTACTGAAATATTTTGTAATCACAGTGGCTGACATACCACACGTAATGATGATTCACTGATTTTCCTGAACTTTCTGGAAATTACTGGAAACGTTTTCAAAGGCAACATGTTTTGATAAGTTATAATTTGGGCAGCATCTTGTGGAAAATGATAACAACATTTTTTTTAAAAAGTATTTTACTGAATCTGTTGTCTCCAGAAGACTGAATAAAGAAATACAAAGCTATTAAACTGAATAACTATATGGATTATGGTACCAAATTTCAAATGTAACAAAATGTAAAATGGTTGATAAATATTTCGATTATATATGGGATCTGTACAATATTTAGGTAACTTTAAAGATGAAACTGACTTTTGGTTATTGTGTCTCAATAACTGAAATTACAATTCAGGTACAGTAAAGTATTTTCAAAAGTTTATGGATCATTTCGTTTTTGTAAATACAAAATGTTTACAAAGTATAATGATTATCTTAAAATCAACCGTTAGAACCCTACTATGTTTTATAAAAATGTTTTAAACGATTTTTATGATTTGGTAACTTGTAGAACAACCGTGTCCAACTGCGTCCGCACGAACTTCTCACCCACCAGGGAAGCCGGCGCTCCTGCGAGCACGGGCAACTTCCCTGATTCCGCTCTCGTTTCCCCACCATATCTAGCAAGGGGTGTACACGCTCCAGCTACAACGGGGATAGTAAATGCAAAACGAACTCGAGATATCACGACGAATGGTTGCTTCGTACGAATAAGTATTTACCGACGTTTTCTATTAGACGATCAATATTTGAACTATGTTTATATATTTTATTACTTATTAAATTCCTTCATATTTATTTCCTTCTTTAAATTTGCCTTGTATAATCATTTTGCCAAGGGACCGAGATATATTAGAATGGGAAATTATTTGCCAGTTTTCGTTTAGTATAATGTTTTATTAAATGATCTGTTGTATTATGTCGTATCCGTTTGTTGTACGTGGATGTGTTGTTTGTTGTAACTACCAATAATGTTAAATAAACTAACCAGTGTGTACTCTCTATTTTAGTAAAACCTCCTCTTAGATTTACTCTATCACTCTCATTGACGGACAGCTCTTACCAATCATCGACCCCACCCTGAACACAGGAAGTGAATGCAATTATTGTACCATAAGTAAACGCGATTTCGAAATCAAGATCCTTTCGATTCAACACATTTAATTCTACTCTTCCTTGATAAGTTCAAATGCGAGTGATATATATTTTATTTTAATAGATCATTTATTTGCTTTAGTAGATGAAATGGAAATTCATATCGCTTTTGGAGCAATATCTATCAAGTGATGTTTCCAAAAGACTGTAATGGGGAGGTGTCCAATGACATACCGACATCCTAGAGCTATTTGTAAAATCCTTACTTTTAAACCTCGTGCCAGTTTCTCTGAACGCTGAGTCCCCGAACTATAGCAAGCTAATTACCTGGCTTCTGACCTTGACATGCCTGATTGAGTGACTGGCTGCAATAGAGCATATATGTAGCCAAGTCCTGGCCTCTTACATGCAGGGTTTATTGCCCATTCTTAGGGTTGCTCTCTCATTGTCACCTTTATGATCGTATCTAGCGGTGTTGGTCTTCTACATATACATGTTCAAAACTCCTTTGTTATCTTAAATGTATTTATATAGTTCTCTTACACTAATTACTCTTACGACTTTCATGATCGTATTTATTTATAGACAAAAAAGCTTCGTGTGTAGTAGTTCTGTAGGTTCTGTTCCTGCATTTCAACCGCGACAAATGCGTTTAAGTACTATATATCTTTAATTTAACATCGCGAAATTAAAAAAAAATACCCGAAAAACGAGAAAATATAATAAACGGAGAATGAATTCCACCGATTCATTTTACTGGAGCCATCACTTTGAACTTTTACTTAAAGAAAAATCATTGAACAATAATTCCCCGCTTGGAAATAATAAATTTCTGTTATGATACATTCCGATTGCTCACTTAGTCCTCATATCATTATATTTTGTAGGTGTTCTTTTTCTCATTTTCTGTTGGAAATTGTACATATGATCACATTTAAGATTACAGTAGGACGCCGATCGTCAGCGGGCTTTCTTTGCATATGCCGGGACAGCAGAGTGAGAAGAAGAGTGGGCCGGGGAGCGAGAGGAGCAGTGAGAGGGACAGCGAGAGGGAGAGCGAGTGGGGCAGCAAGAGGGGCAGCGAGAGGCAGCGATAGGGAGAGCGAGAGGGGCAGCGAGAGGGGCAGCGAGAGGGGCAGCGAGAGGTGCAGCGAGAGGGTTAGCGAACAGGGACAGGACAGCGAGGCAGGGGTAGCGAGAAAGGGGTAGCGAGAGGGTAGCGAGAAGGAGAGATAGCGAGAGGGTAGGAGAGGGGTAGCCGAGAGTGGCAGCCGAGAGGGGCAGCAAGAGGGGCAGCGGAGAGGCAAGCCAAGAGCAGGGAGGCGAGAGGGGGAGCGACAAATGGGCAGCGAGAGAGAGAGCCGCGAGGGGTAGTGAGAGGGGCAGCGGAGGGGGCACGAGGAGCGGGACATAGCGCGAGAGGGGAAGAGAGAAGGGGCAGCGAGAGGCAAGCGGAGGGACGAGCGAGAGGCGGGGCAGCAGAGGGGCAGGAGTGGCAAGCGAGAGGGGAAGCGGAGAAGGGGTCGGGCCAGGCCGGGCGCACGAGAACTCGGCGAAGAGCACCCAGTAGGTGATGTTGAGGATGGCGAAGAGCAGCGGGAAGAAGACGCGTGAGAAGCGGTCGATGTTGATGGCGCGCGTGCGGTTGCGCTGGGCGGGCGGCGGGCGCGCGGGCGCCGGCGGCTGCCCCGTCAGCAGGCGCGCGTTCTCCTGCAACACGCACGCGCCAACTGTTCATTCATTCATCTTTCCAGCAGTGTGAGATCCGGCGCCGACCTAAATGTCGACTTGCAGGGGATTTACCTCTCCAGGTATCTCCCACCGGTTGAGGTGGCTCAGAGCATCAACTGATGCCAATCCAGTTCGTCTGACCGGGAGGTCCTAGGGTTTGAGTCCTCACGTTGGCATAATTTTCAAAACTAGCGTGATAGCTGGGTCGAATTCAGCCGCCGCCTGGAGGAGAATTTATCCGTCAGCTGCTCTGATCAGTTTTGCGTGGTTTCTCTGATAAATACCTGGCGAATGCTGGATCAGAATTCTAATAAAACGGCCTTGGACAGCGTCTGATCTTTCCTTCCTCTTCTTAGTCCTTCCTCACCAGTTACTTGCACACTCTTACCCTTTTATTCACACATTACCACACATATCGGGAAACCAATCATGTGCTTACAGCTTGCCCCGGATCGAGCGGTGTCCCGCAGGTGGGAGGTATCTGGACGGGGAAATCCCGCAAGCCGATGTTTAGGTCGCCGCCGGAACTCGCCATCCAGCGGGGAAGGACACTGCCACATCGCGCGACAAAAGATGCGCTAGACCTGAGGCCCTAATGGCATTAGCAGAAGACGCGCCCGAAAATACTACGTAATCAATCAAGCGAGGTATCTCCCACTAGCGGGCATCATTCCAGCCGGAACAAGCTCTATGCTCCCAACTGGTCTCCCGCCGAGTGTGACAGTGTAGGGCTCACAACTGTGAGAGGAAAACGACAAGTATAAAACAGGAAACATCTCTTGCGGCCCGTGGCCAGTATGTTAGGTTACTACTCCGGCATTCACCTGGTCTTGATCGGAGAAACAACGGAAGTTAGAGTTTAGTCAGAGTCGAAAATTCGCCACCGTGGGTCTCGACCACTTCCGGTCAGAGTCACTGAAGAGGCTGCGTCTATGCTTTAGGTTAACACGCATTTAAAGAAGGTGTAAAATATTCAAAATGAATAAACCATCTTTATGATATCATTGAAAATAATGAACACTCGAGTTTTCGTTAATGAAATATTTATTCCTACTTTCTTTTACTTAATTTCTTATAATCTTTTTTATATTAGACATTGAACATCTTAGATGTTATCTAAATTGTTTTCAGCATATATTTTCAGCAATTGTTTTAAGCAAATGATGAATTATTTGTACAGTTCATCTTGGAAAAAAAGTTGCTTAAAACATTTGTTGCAAAAATATTTCAAAACTCCTTTACAACGTGTTAAAATTCCATTTTGTGCAATTTTATAAATGGAAGCACATGACAAATTTTTATTCACTCTTTATACCCACAACGATAAACAAAATTTTCATTATGTGTAACATAAAATCATCCGGCGGGTCGCACAATTTAAAATTGCGGGCAAGATTTGAACCGCGAGTTGGCCAAGCTTAAATTACAGTAAAATACAATCACAATCAGGACAAGCACACCAAACACGTGAAGTACGTCAAAATTACTGACCCAGATTTGTTAGAACTTACACGCTTCAATTCCAAAACATGGGAGCAAGGTAACTACACATTTCAACACATTGTTAAACAATTTGGTCAATTATATCACAAAAAATTGTATTTAAAATAGGGGTGTTTATTTGAAATCATGACAGAATTCTGTTTTCGAGGAAATATTTTCTAAGGCGAAACCTAATGATGGCATAATTTCAAACTAATTAATGATTTATTTCAACTGTATATGGGACTTGAACCTCCAAATCGATAATGCAAAAAATTGCAGATGAAAAGTGAGGATGCTAACTTTTTAAGAAAGTAACCTACTTTGACAAAAACGCTCTAAATTCTTACTAATAATGGTGTAGTTTTAAAATAATTGAATAGGCATATTTCAAAAAATCAATTAAAAAAATTAAAAATCGAACCCGAACTCCAGTCACGACAAAAATTGAATTTTCAAAATGGAGTTAACTTTACTGTTCTCCCCCACTACCTCCCCTATGGCCCTCTCGAGCTCCCAGCCTCACTCAGGCGGCGACGTGCTGTGAGGTGCAAGGGGGAGAGCAGGCTCGCTCACATGAGGGCCACTCGTTTTAATTAAGCAGCGTGAAGAGATCCGGGGCTACGTAGGAGTCGCAATTTTAAAATTCTAAAATCTATGGTAGCTTGCACGCCATCCCAGCATCAAGGAAAAGAGTTAGTATTGATTCCGTGCGCGACAACTACTGTCGTTACTCCTGTAAGTGTAGAACATGTAATATCCCTGTTGGCGTAATATCTCACCCTGCTGGACCGTGATATCCAGCGCCGAGCTAGAATTCAGCTTCAGAATTTTCGCTCCAAGGTATCTCCCAAAAGTGTACCCGCTCAGCACGGACAAGCTTTAAACTCCCGACTGATCTCCTAGTAAGGGAGGGTAAAAGGGGGAGGAGGGCACAAGGATGAGGAAGGGGAGATCGAGCGCGTTCCATGGCCCGTTTATTAAGGTATTGCCCCGACATTCACCTGGTATTGATCGATGAAATCGCGAAAATGTATTGATCAGAGTAGGAATCCATTAAAATTCTCCTCTAACTACTAGTGGAATACGATCCAGCTATTAAACAAGGGTCGAAAAACCGCCACCTTCGGGACACGAAGTCTAGGACTTGCCGGTCAACAATGCTCCAGAGGAAAGATGTTGCCGCTGAGATATCGCAGCCCGTATGTAACAATAAAGAAGGTAGATTACACAATGAAGAAATTAGAAAACGTGTAGGAATGTTCTGTTTAAATAAAAAAAAACAAAAAGCAAATATCTAGAAGTGCAAAGAAAATGTTGAAAAAATACAGGAGACTAGAATAGTTAGAAGTTTACACAAATGGAAGAAGAAATATATGTCGGGAGATTAAGCAGAAGGTCATGAAAATCAACAAAAGGTGAAGTGACACAGGTATTATAAAAATCAGTCTCATGAAGGAGCAAGGAAAGTATATATTTTTCATTATTACGTTTCTTTCCAGCCCCATCTCATCACTTCCAAGCTTCTCCAGGAGATATTCGGATCATATTAATGAGTATCTGGAATGTTTCTCTGACGCATTCCAGCATCAATAAGGGAGCTAGCAATATTTCTCAACCCCGCTGTATGCGACATGTGTCATTGTGCCATGTCATTGTGCCATGGTCATTTACAAACTCCTTAGCAGGTTGTTTTTTCTTGAGAACCCAAATCAAGGCGATTTTTCCCTCGCACGCGGCGCAGGATACAAGAAAAGCAAAATCCATCCTCACAATTAGATTTACACCCGCGAATAGAGAGGCTGAGTGAAGTTCTTGAAGACTTACAGATGATAATATATAAAGTTTCTTTACATCCAGTGGTTGGGTACGCCATTGAAGGAGAGCAAGCATTGACGCTGGAAGGAGATGGAAGAAAGTACTCTTGCAGTTCCCTAGCTTATAAACCAAGTGGAAGACGAAAGAAGTAATTTTCATCGAAGTAATTGAACGTTCGTAAATTCGTTTCCAAACCGTCACTACAGTTTACAAAATAGTTACTCAATTTTCTAAAGACGCAACTAGTTCAGCATGTGTTCAAAGAGCTTCACGTATTGCCTGCTTCAAATTAAGGCAATTTCCAACTTTAAATTGTTCCATGTGATGCAATGAATGATACTGGGTTAGTCTTCTGGATTATCTATTGACATCTTACAAGTAACCATCAGTTTTCATTTAATTAGCAAACTTACTATAACTTTATTTAGAAATAAGGTAAACGGGTAATACGAAAGCTAAACGTATTTTTATCCGTATGTTTACAGATTTAACGTTTTATGTTGCGACTATCTTTGTTCCTCATGGAAAATTGTAATTGAGCGGTGCTTTAACATAAAAACAGATTTTCTTTTGCGTGAATTAATTGGGAACAAACGTAGTAAATAAGCATGAATTACATGGGAAATTTCATGACCGAAATTAGCAATTTACTAACTCACCTTTGCAGCCAGGTCGAATATCTTATCCGGCTTCGGTGGTTCGTTCGGGCCCTTAGGACCATCTGAGTCTCCCAGCACAATGTTCACCAGACAGTACTCCATCAGTGCCATAAACACGAACCTGTTGAAGGAAAGTTGTGATAACAGGCGCCGAAAAACTTGTACATGCTGTCTACTCATGGAGTTTAACGTTTGGAGAAAGTATCGCATATGTGCCATGACAACTGAGATTAAGTCTGTCGCTCATTTTCTTATTAGTGTCTTAAAATTTTAATATGATGACTAGATGCGTTATTCAAATAATCAAATTCCTGATCAAGGACTGCATCTTAAACTATATTATTTCCATTCTATATAATCAGTATTTGTCAGCTATGTTAAATTCAAGAAATAATATTGTCTTTAAATAACAGTTTTCGTTGCTTTTTTTTGTTTTTTAATCGATGGATATCTTTTTTAAATCATGCAAAGAAAAATTTGATTTCTCCAGGATTTTTTTATTTCAAAATAATTTTGATATGTTTGAACCTCGGAAGATGATATTTTTGCTAAACAATTATTATATTGTATCAACATCTTGGTTTACGAAAGTCCTGATTTTCTTCTCCGAACTTAGTTGTTTTTTTAAACATTTTTACTGTATGACAAATATTATTTATGTTTGCAACAATTACGAAAATATGTTATTTCACTTCTTAAACGAGGAACGTTTGAAACATTTGTGAATTTTTGAGGTTTCCAAAATTATACTCCAAATAATGAGAAAAGCCTAATTATTTGGAATACGTAAACATACCAATATAATGAACAGTAATCATGAAAATTTTGAAAGCGATAATTACTAGTTAAGACGTATGTTCGAATCTGGTTAATTCTGGAATTAGCAGGTTAATTTTCAGAGTGGATTGAGATCCAAGGAGGAACAGCTTTGTAGCGTACTTCAGGTTTTAGGCGAATGAAGTTGAATAGGCTAACACGAGATGGCTAGGATAGGTGAAGTACGTTTCGATGACGTGGAGTTCAACGAATAGTTCATTGTAAAAAAGAGGAGTCAGGCTAATGGTGGAATGATTTTAAGTGAGAGACAAAGAATATAGTTTCGAATTCCACTGTGATAGTCGTAAATTTCTTACACGTTACCATTTAGCATAACCTAACATCACTATGTACCTCAGAGGCTGCATCGGTATGCTCTTTGAAGTTGGTGATGCAACGTTTGTGACTTCCATAAAACAATCTTGAGTGTGCAACGCATAACTTTCATCCTATTTTAATTACATAGTACTTTTTTTAAAAGTGTGATAGTTCAGAAGTGAAGTAAACTCTCGATTGAGTGGCTAGGCATCAGGAGTGTTTACAGACTTTTGGAAGGAATTACGTGACAACTCGCACTAAGCAGATCTACAAGAGCTTCAGCGAATAATGTTCAGATGTGCCATCACAAGAAACGCCCTTCCGCCCCAAAATACTTGCGAACACACACGACTCGCACTCGGACTACCGCCTTACTTTAGCTAAAGTTCTGTGACTAATACCAACATAATAAGGATGACGGCCGAAACGGGCCATATTCTGGCTGGCCGTGACATGTTCATTAATGGATCTAATGTCAAAGCTTTAATTATTAGGAAAGATCGCCTGTCAAAGATCTTTCTCGATGTGGCCTCCGAAATCAAGTTGTTGATATCTGCTGAATGTATTGATTCAGCATTAATTAATGTTGGAAATACTACGTACACAGTGCACGCAGACATGAACGCGTCGACCGCCTTTAGGTAGGACACGGGTGGTAACGCTGCTTGAGACTTCGCGTGCTGCGTTGACAGAGTGAGCAGGGAGGTAACTCCCAGAGTCACTCGCGCCGGAGCTGCTTCCGGTTTGATCCAAAACGACACCCACTGCAAACAAGATATTCCGATGTATAACATAATAATTTAATATAAAATATAATAATATTGTGGGTAATATAAGAATGCATTCCTACACCTGACAAATTATGAATGTGAATTACATGTTTCACACAAGGTCACATTAGACGAGTATCAAATCTAAGTTTGTAAAGTTTTCAGCCAGCAGCCGTTCTAGAGTACTATATACTTAAAATCACACAACACAATAAATACAATTTAATAAATATCTACATATTAAATACAATTTAATAAACAGTATGCATTGCGCAGAAAGCAGTAAAATTACTACGAACATTGAAAAATAATGTAATAACCTACTGGATTCGACCGTTACTGTCAGTTATTGGCATACTGCTAATTATCAGGATTGGGAATGAATGTGGCTGCCTTGATATCAAAATTCAGGAATTCGAAGACAGCAATGTAAACCAATACTCCTCTATGAATTCAAAACTTGGTAATTTAAAGAATCAATACGACTGTAAATGCATTTACGTAATTTCCTGAGTACTAAAATAGTTCTATCAATCCTTGAAATGTATTATTTTTTAACTTACCGACATAATTACGATCAAGCACGTAGGAATATAAGTATGAAACAGGTAGTAACCCAATCTTCTTTTGAGCACGAAGACAACTTCCAGACAAGTAAAATTTCCTGAGAAAATATAATTAAAAATTATTATAATTAACCAATAGTTTTAAACTACTATCAGCAACATCTGTACATATAACCAGTGGCGTATCCAAAAGTAGGGGCCGTGGGGATTCCGCTCCCCCCTCCTGAAACTGATGACACATATCCAGAAATGAAGATTTCACTATTTTTGTCTCGTAATGAAAGTCATTGTACATCTGAATTAAAAAACTCTGAATATACAAATAAAAGTAATTTCCAAATTTAGCAGCTATATTACTCATTCTAATGCGCGAATAAATGGAAAGAAAAATAAACTAGCCTCCCTTCATGTGATAGGTGTGTATGGATTCGTTAGATCATCAGGAACTCGGAGAAATCAACAATGAGTCAATTTCCATTTGAAACTGACAAACGCAAATATTTGATTGCATTATTCTGCCTATTCTCATACTGCGCGTACCGAGTGAATTCTCATAATTTCTTAATATTTCGTCATAATCTTTCAATATTTGTTGCGATTTGTTTCAATTTTCAATATGCGTTGCATTGTATAATCGCAACATTTTTGTATTCTTGGCGTGTGAAAAACTGCCGTACTGTATAAACTGTCGTACGAGTATACTGTACTATGTATATCAGTATAAATAAACACTATTTTAGTTATTTTTTTATTTAGTGCAATGCTATGCATGAATATTTAATTTTTTGTTTTTAAGAAGTGTGCGTGCTACTTTTTAGAAAACAATTTTGTGTGGTATTGTTCAGCAGCATTTTTTCTAGCATTCGCTTGGCAGCAGTGGTCGATGTAACATTATGCGCTCCGTTCAGTATAGCTCCGCGAATTCGACATTCGACACTTGAGAAACGACACTAAAAATTCTACAATGGAATGTGAACGGTTTTTACACTCGGTATGAATTCCTTCAAAAGATTTTAAAATACGACAACTACGACGTACTGTGCATCCAGGAAACTAATTTCAAAAATAAGCACCATTTTGATATAAAAGGTTATCAATGTTTTTACGAAAACAGAGCAAATGCCATTGGCGGTGTTTCGACCTACGTACATACGTCGATCAAGTGCACAAAATGCGCCAAGTGGTCTAGAAGTATGTGTGATACAGCTGCAAATTGGCGGTAGTAGCTTTCACCTGTGTAATGCATACATTCCTAGTGCGTTTCAACTAGAATCTCACCTCTTAGACAATTTATACGCCACATATCCGGCCCGGTACTGACAGTCGATAACTTAAATACTCAAAATTTGATTTGGTGATTAAACAGAAGAGATCGTTAAGGGAAAATTGTCGGGGAATAATGAAGATCTAATGGTCTTTAACGACTGCACAAACTCTACATACTTCAACGCGGGTAGCGGCAACTTAATTTGCATCGACCTAAGCATCTGCACTCCAACTTTGGCAAGATATCTGAAATGGAAAGTGATGAAGGTCCTTTACAACAGTGATCATTACTCCAGAATATTGAATATGAGAATTCGATTACTCCTGGACATCTATATGCCCAGATGGGTATTTAAAAACGCCAACTGGAAGTCATACCAAGATATCAACATAGGCAAAGTTCAGAACCTTAAGAAACTTATACTGTCTACAGCGGAGGTCACTATACCCAAAACAAAACAAATAGTTAAAGGAAAACGAAACTACCTTGGCGGACAGAGGAATATGAAGAAGCGGTTACGAATTACCAGCACTGGTTTGATGTATTCACGAAACATAAAACAAATGAAAATCAATTCAGGTTTAAATCTGCACAAGCCAACGCAAGAAGAATCATAAAAGAATCTAAGAGGAGCAGCTGGAAGGAATACATATCATCCTTAAACAATAAAGTGAACTATTCGGAGGCTTCGAAGCAAATCATTGCCATCAATGAATACTCCAAAACACATTACCTGAAGTCTATATACACGCCAGATGGTCAATTCATTCAAGACCCGTGCGACATTTGCAAATAACGTTAGAAAGTTTTTCGCTTTCAATTCTAGTGATTCAAACCTTGCAGATAGCGTCACAAAACATAAAGAAGAAACTGAGAGATCTCCCCTAAAACTGAAAGTAGAAGAAGACGAAACAGACGATTCCGTACAACTGAATGCACCCATTACGCTCCGAGAACTTAAGGTTAATATACGTCAACTAAAAGACACCAGCGCCGGTCCCGACGTAATACCTAACATACTTATCCGGATGTTCCCTGAAGAAGCTCTCAGTGTTCTTCTAGACATTTACAGTTATTTATATTTAAACAATGTCTTCCCTCAAAAATAGAAGCAGTTAATTTTCAAATTCACTAATCTGGTACGGACAAATTTTTAATAGACAGCTACAGATCTATTACCCTAACATTTTGCCTATGTAAATTACTTGAGAAGGTAGTGAACCACAGACTTAAATAATACCTAGAAAAACATCAGCTAATATCATCCCATCAAAGTAGTTTCCGCAAGAATTGATACCCCTTAGACAGTATTGCAATAATCGAGCACAGCATCTACAATGGATTCGCTAAAAATATGCTCACAGTGGTAGTAAGACTCGACATCGAAAAGGTATATGAGATGGTCAGGCGCAGACGTATCATGGACATAATAACGGATCATGGAATTAACGGCAACATAGCTAAGTTCGTTCATAACTTCTTTAAAGAACAATACATTAATGTCAGAGTAAGATGATCCCTATCAGAGAGATAAACGCTGGAAAATGGAGTACTTCAGGGCTCTTTGCTTAGTGTGACCATGATTCTGTTGATAATAAATGAACGTCAGACCAAAATCAAACTACCTGCGCTAGATAACATGTTAGCGGATGACTGTAATATATGCATCACTGGTAAACATCTTTCTTCTGTAGCAGCTGTAGCGCAAAACATCGTAGACACTATCCTCGCATTCTCCATTGATGTTGACCTAAAATTCTCCAAGACGAAAACCACATTCATTATTTTATCCAGGAAACGATCCTCTGAGAACACCCTGTCCCTGAACCTGGTCGAACATATTATAAAACAATGTAAAACCTTAAAGTCTTAGGTCTGACACATGACAAAAGGTATTCTTGGATACCTTAAATTGAATACTATAAAATATATCCAGGATACATTAAAATCCTGAAAGTGGAATGCACCAGAAGTCTACATCTGATGAAAATTATAAGCCACCCATAGTGGGGGGCCGATTATACAGTGCTTAGAAGAACGCAACAGGCTTTGATCAGGGCTAAAATGGATTACGGCAGTATATTCTACGTTGCTGCAAATAAGAATATTAAAAGAATACTCGATCATATCAATAACACTGTTCGGCAATCCTATGGACCCAATGGATCATCATACGTACAGACACAGGAAGAAATGAAAAAGAAAACAACCAAAAAGAAACTACCAAAACCAATTGCTGTACGGGCTATACAAATAATAAGCACAATATCATAAACCATTCCACCGCTTGAACATATCAGTATTACTGACTATGCATAGTGGACTATGCAGAACATTAAGGTTGACGAGCTGATAAGCAATTTTAAGAAGTCAAAAACTTACAATCAAGAGATAAGCGCCAAAATAAGAGAAGAATTATTATTATACACAATATTCTTCAGAAATTATGCGGTGCTACATGGGAATCTTCAACAGCTACTTTAGGAGCCCTTTTCAGCCCTGAGGTTGGCATACTCGGCGGCGAAATATTGTGCACCATTATGGCTCAACAGTGCACATACCAAACTTGTGGATCGCCAATTTAAGAACACCACGCGTCTCATGCGGGGCACTCTCAAATCTACCTCAGTTAACTGCCTGCATGTCCGAAGTCATATACCATCTTCAGACCTCCTAGACAATCGGCGCTTCTAAGTGAGCATGGAAAAACATTACATTTCTCAGAACATCCAGTTAACTCTGATCTTAAACATCTACAGACAAGCAGGCTTTGATCTAGGGACCCCTCCTCAGGGAAGCTAGTTCACTTCACGGGGAAAGTTTCAGCATCACCGAGGCCTGGAAGGGATAGGAGAAAAACGCACCAGCGGAGCCCAAACATACCGTTCATAACAGAGAAGCCACCGGGTTTTGAGCTACCAAGAAAAACTTGGTGCTCATTGAACAGAATCTGCACAAGTCATGGGATAAGCAAAGATTACCTTTACAAATGGGGAAAAGCAATCCTCACAGAGTGACTGCAATGCTGATAGACGAACCGTTTGGCATATTGTAGAAGAGTGCCGATTAAGATCCTATGCTGGCGAGCCAAATTTTCCTGACTGATTTTCTGACTGCGGCCGAAAGTGCAATAGAATATATTAATAACTTAGAAGTACGTACATCACTAATGTTTATAACTGTTCTATTGTGTTCATTTTTGTTTGCATTCTTTTTTGTATGTTTATACATGTTCATGAATTTTTTGAATACGTAATTATACGCTAAATATTTATTTTATTTTACAAAAACAATGAGAATGCATGTGCTAATTTTAATCGTTGAAACCTCTTCTTAAATTAGTCTTACGTCTTTAATATTTAAAATGAATTCTATTATATCGAAATAGGTCTGAGAGTACGTGTGCAATAATTTCCGAAACGTCGTTTGTAGACTGTCAAAATGTGTTTAATGTTACTTTTTACTTGATATGATAGAAAAAATAATTATGAAAATTATGCTGTTTAAAATATTTAAGGGATCTGATATTGTGGAGTATTTTACATCAAACTTCAACAGGATTACAAAAATTTTCTCAAAAACGACTCCACATTTTTTCTTTGATAGGGCTTATAAAAATGGCGCCGCCTCATTTTCTAACAGAGAAGGATTATTAGAATTAATTGAAATAAATAAAATATTTATAGTAATACACAAATAACTTGGTCCGTAATGTGGTCGAAAATATTTTAATCGCAAAACGGAAGGACAATCAGTTGTTCATATAACTTCATCGAATAGTTGAAATTAATTACCTGTAGAATACACTTTAGTGCAATCAGCCGTGTAGTTCTTCACAAGCTGAAGCTGAGGCAACTCAATGTTCTCATCTACTACCAAGGGGACATCGGGATCCCATTGGAAAACCATGTCGTCTGTTGTATGTGACACTGCAAACAACGAACGATTTCAGAAGTACATCATAAAAATTGTCTTTATAAAAATTTCCTTGTATGTCATATCAGCGATAAAACTGTTTCGAGAATCGTATACTCACTGAATCGTACTGATAGAATCACATTGACTTGATGACTAGGTACAGAAAATCAATCACAAAAAAAATCAACAGTTGTGTATTAATAAGTGTGAACCTGAACTCGCATTAAACGTGAGTTTAATTAATCTATGTCCCATTTTATTAACACCTTCCAATTTTTGTTCGTTTTGCTTAGAACTATTTGCCTTCTCATCAATGTTTTCGAGAGTTAAGTTAGAAATTTTGCATCTGCGATAAAATGTCATTTTGAGTAAACTAACATACAACATCAATAAAGTACAAAATCTATTTTACTTAAAAAACTATTATTCCATCTTTTATTTGAAATTAACAACATTTCTTTTCCCAATATTTTCACTGATTAATACCTTTTCATATTTTTTTTGATTAAACGATTTTATTTAAGAGAATTATAAATCAAGCCCTGTATGCATCACATGATGTTGCGCAACTTATATTCTGAAATGCACTATTAGCGGAAGCTCATATGGAAACACATTTTGATTACAAATAGCAAACAGCTTCGCAAGAGAATATGCATGTAACTAATCGCAGACACATTTCGTGTCTCAACTGTTGCTAACATATTGACTGATATGCTGTCAAAACCGAATAATTCAAACGATTCTTCTGGGAATTATTGTAGAAAACGAATAGAGTGATATTATTTACTTAAACTTACGGCTCTCCATTTGCAGTTTACATTCCTGTGTATCGTGAGGGTATATCATAAAGTTCATGGCACAGGACAACGTAAGAGTAAGCCTGCAACAAGCCAAAGAAATGTCTTCAAAGATTTCCATGTCGACCACATTTTTCGAATACATTAGATAGGGTTTCGCGAATATGAAAACATTAAAAAGCAAGTTATTTTGTGTTTGAGTTTAAAATAAATAAAATTAACCCTTGACCGGGCGCCCCTCTGTATAAAGTCGCCAAGCGCAGACAAAATCGTTCTAAACGGCTTAATATTGAATTTAAAACAGCGATAATTCAGCTGTTTCTTCATTTTTGTTTTATCTTTCGTCGCGTGAAGTTGTGCTGATTGAATCTTCAAGGAAAGGGAAGTAGTTGAAATATTCTTGGTGCGTATCATTCTCGTATACACAGTGCGCCGCTCACCCGCTCATGTAAGAATTTTTTATTGACTTAATTTCGTATGTTGTCTTCTAGATATCACAGGAATGGTTGCTCAGGTAAAATGTTTCTCAAATCAAGCAAACTTTCACAACTAATAATATTACCTGTTTGAAATGTAAAAAGGAAGGCCATATTGCCAGCAAGTGCTCAATTAATAACATTACCCTCTCAGCAATATAAATAGATCAACAGATAACAATAATGATAATACATTAGTAGAGATTCTCCCTCCAGAACAATCAGCTGACAATGCATCTGATTCGATTGCTCTGGATTACACGCATTCCCTTCTATCAACGAAATATCCTCCCATCTGAATCATCCTCTACACCTGAGAATATATCAACTAGTGATGTAAAATGTAAAGACAAAACCCTCAACTAAAAAGAGAGCAAAAAATGCAAATGAAGAACCTGCCTCTCAAGACTATTTAACTAACAAGTCAATACAAAACTTCTCCAACCAAAACCTATTTAGACTCCAACTAAGGCAAACTTTCTATCTCATTCACTCAATTCAAATCATTCCTTGAAAACTCTTTTGAAGTACCTGATCCCATTCCTATAATGAAAGATTATTCAACTGATTTTAGTAGAATAATTGGTATGCTGAAAGAAACAAATTATTGAATAAAAGATCTACAAAGGGCAGATTTACAAGATTTCAAAAAATTAGAAAAAAATATTCCCAACAGAAACCTCAGACTCAGAATCCAGTTTAGACAATATCTAAATACAGTATGAACTTATTCAGATCATACTATAAAATTTAAATCATGCTGATACAACTGAAAGTATAATATAATACAAAGAAGAATCTATAATAGTTCTGCAATGGAATCTGCAATGGGCTTTTACAGCATGTTAAAAAAGTTACAATATTTATGCAAACTACATAACCCTGATATAATATGTATAAAAGAAACAAACTTAAAAGGAAAAACGCATGGGAAATAACTGGATATAATTGCACCTTTGAAAATAGAAGCAACTCTGAATATGCATGTGGTGGAATATACATGCCATATATTCCAAAAAATCGATTTCCAGTGAAATTCTAAAACTTCAAACCAATATTGAATTTGTGACAATTAAAATTAATTCAACGAACTCCATAAGTATCGGAAATGTTTATATCCCTAATAGATACCCACTAGAAATCGAAATGTATGATATTATAAATCAGATGAAAGAGTCCTTCATAATTCATGGGGACTTTAACTTCCATTACTTCTTAAGGGGATCGTACAAAATTAATAATAGAGGTAGACTACTGGAAAATGTAATTGACGACCATGGCACCATCATCTTCAACTCTGGTGATCCCACACATATCAGTAACAGGAAACTACATGCGATAGCTTCTCCCACAATAGCTCAGAAATGTAATTGAAATGTTATAGATTTTCCCTCTGAGACAACCAATGCTGCTAACTTAATAACACATAGGTACCATGGCCCTTTTAAGTTCAAAAGCGTTCTCTGGTAGAATACTGAATGCAAAATCACTATTAGAAACGCTAAATAAGCATTTAACTGATATAAAAGAGGAGAGATAATGATAATCGAATTAACTAGAAGAGAACTAGAGCTATTGCCCGCAGAACTGTAAAAATAAACAAAGGTAGATCATGGTCCAAATATATTTCCTCAATCAAAAGCTAATCGAACTCAACTGAGAGTTGGAAAAAAATAAAAGCCATGCGTGGTATTAAGAAGAACAATATTATATACTTCGTTGCAATGACCAGATATTTCGCGACCCCAAAATTTTTGCTGAAGAATATGACGAAATCTTCATGAAAAATTACAGCACTTTCAATTACCATACGGAATTCATCGCATATAAAGAAAAAGCTGAAAGTGAGTCAAATATGACACCTATTGATGGCATTAACAATGATAATGACACGAACTCTCCAATTTTAATGCACAAACTACAAGTTTCAAGAAAGTTCAACAACTCAGCTCCTGGCCCAGATAATATTCCAAACTGACTAAAACTCTCCCAAAGAGTAGTACTGAAATTTTATTAAAAATATATAACCAGATATGGCTAAATAATGTATTTCCTCAACTCTGGAAAACTGCCACAGTCATTCCAATTCCCAAGCCTGGCAGAGACCAGTCAAATAGCAATAATTACCTACCAATCTCACTGATTTGCAACGTATGCAAAATATTAGAAAAGATCATTCATAAAAGAATAAGGTGGTTCCTTGAAACTCAAGATTTAATAAAAGCAACCAATTTGGTTTCAGAACTGGACACTCCACCACCTCGTTAGCAACTACTTTTGGCACTATTGGAGGACACCGCCAATTTGCGATATGTGCATTAGTGGCTAGTTGACACATTCAAATCATAAAATGCTAAAGGTACTGTTCTATGATGAATAAAGTAGAGCAGTAGACAAATGTGGAAATTGCCGTTCTTCGTGACAAAAAGTCTCCTGTTTTATGAGGAGACACAAGGTGCATTGGGCGAGAGTGCGTTGCCTTCAGCAGTGATGCACGTTGAGTGAATGCCTTCAAACGTGGTTGCGTGGCAACTGCTGGCCAGTGGTGCATTGAGCATCTATTTAACTGCACAGATTTTTAATGCAGAAATTGTTGCAATACAAAAATTATAATATTAATTATAATTTTGGTAGTAATTACAATATAATTACAACCTACTTTAAGATTTTCACTATTATGCCTATAATAACAATAATTTCATTTATTTAAGTAATAAGTTTGTAATTACTTACTTCACCATATAAAGAATAGTTTTGTCTTTGTATAACCACATATAATGATTCGGAATCGTCATTGTTTGGAAGGTGACGGCTTTTGCATTTTTGAAAAAACTATCTGGTCTCCACATATTCTTCAACCAGTCGACTTCCAGTAATCTGAAAATTCATTACAAACACAAAATGTAAGATATACAATTACCATATTTTTTAGGGGAAATTACCACAATTTTGAAGGATTGTAAAGTTACATCTTGTCAAGAATGATTCCCAAAATTAGTGCTGGGAGGTAGCTGTACACTCCCTTATTCTCAGTAAATAATCATCACGGAGAAAAGAAAGGAAGACTTGGAAAAGAAAATATTCTAGTTACGTAATGATGTTTCACAACTTTATGCGTTCAGAACCGTTTCTTAATAAATCACTATTGTCCAAATCCCAAAGTGATAAGCGACTTATTTCCCTAGAAAACTTACCTAGATTTTCCTGACAATAGAAATTATGCAGCTATGACAATTCATACTTTCAAAGGTTCAAGCATTGGACTTCCATTATTACGTCTCATATCAGAGTAATAACTTAATCATTAATATTTTATTCTTGTTATAATTTGTTATAAATTACATGAAAATTATACTGAATGTAGTGTTCTTTATTTAATATTAGAGCATATTTATGCTACTGTTGTAAAATATTGGTCAGAGTCTAGAGTACTTTAAAAAACAATGTCTTAGAAAGTGACTGAAGTACGTAAACAGTTATGAACAAAATGTTATATATAGTAAAAAAAGCAATATATGCAAACCCACTTTGGTTAAATTATAACGTATGGGAACGTCAGTCACAGAATAGGAAACCATTTTGACAATGAATACCTATACTGAAACTTTCAGTTAATGGTATTAAGAATGTCAAATTTACCTATACTCGGACGTCATATTTTCAGGTAGACGCAGGCGAAAATCTTTCCACATTTGGGCAAAAAAGATGTCGGCGGCATATGTCTGAAACACCACAGGAAAAAATATAATTGATGGATTACTAGTTCATTGATGTGTATTTACGAACCGGAAACAAAACACGTAACGATATTGTTAATACTCTTGCAAGCGTTTCTGATAATTTATGCCCGTTGGCTTTTTGAATACTTTATGGCCCACTCTAACACATACAAGATTTTTATGAATTCGATTTATTAAAGTTAAGATACAAGCAAATAAAATAAATAAGTGACATTACTCTCAAATAAGTAAAATAACTCGCTATAAACCATACTTTACTTAATTCGTATGAAAATTGCAATTTTGAAGTTTTACCGTGAATTTGTAATTGTCATCAGTCACTCATATTTCCTTGTTACGTATCATGATTTTTTTTAGAAATGTATGTGCTTCTTGAGTAGCAGTACTAATAGTAGTAACGAGATGTGTAAGGCACATCGGTTAATATACTCGAAATGTTATTGATATGTTATGAAGTTATGAAATATTCTAATTAACTTTTGGCGATAGAGGCAAATAACTTATAGAACCGTTTTATTAGCGCAATTCACACTTATTTTTCACATAACTCTCAAATACACCGTAATGATTTTCATATATATCTAGAGATTTTACTGGAAATCAATGTCCGTTGCTTCCTTAGTTACTTCATGAATTTCCGCAGGGAATTCACAATGATCTTTCATTTTGTACGAACAAATCAGTCCAACAACGAATATGCAGTATTAATTATATACACATTTTGTTTTGTTTATCTGATTATCTATCTGTATTATTTATAATATTGATAAATGACGATTACAATGCGTATTTTCACTTTGGACGCAAGAAAAGTTATAAAATGTTTCGAATTCTCGTTTGATGTGGTGTATTTGGTGTGTCTTGCATCAAAAACTTTTTTCGCTAAGCCATTGAAACCTAAGTTAAACCGTTGGACGTTTGATATGGTGTATTTGATTCAGGAACAAACCAGTAAACCATAAAGTTTTGTATGCTCCACAGACGTTACTAGATGTTTTTCCCCAGACGACTTCCAACCGCTCGGGCCAGAGGCCCGCGGGTTTGGAAGTCGCCCTCTACCCAACGCTCTTCATACATAAATAACTATTCTGTGATTTATTCTTTAGTGAAAAAGAAGGCTATAATGTATTCGATAGAAAAAAGGACCGGAATGGTAATTATAGTTTGTAGTCAGTAATTGTCAGTTTCGTAAGAAATACAGCATTTTCGACAATACACAAAAGGTTCCAAATGAAAGGAAATCGATGGATTAGTTGATATGCAACCAAGAATAAAAGATACCCTTACTTAATACGCTAAATATGCAAATCTTTTCATCCATATGCAAAACGATTGGGCTCTAACGAAAGCGCACTCAGATTTATTATGAGAGCTAGCCTAGGGGCAAGCACGAACGCAAACGGCGGCCGAGGGCAACAGATTCGCCCGAAGGTGCAAAACGACAGGCAGAATCGTGCTGCATCGGCAACGGGACGAGCAGCAACGACCCTTGGCCAACGTTGCCGACGTTGCAGCAAATAAGTTAATATATTTGCTACAATACTTGTCATTTTATGAACCTGATGTCATCAAATCAGGAGCGAGTGATCGTTTTCAGATTTGACAACTTGACATGTTCTAGATGCAATTGCATTAATTTGCCTTTTCTTATTCAGTATGCATCGATGGGATGCAAATATATATCACACGACGAAGGAATCAGTTCATCAGATGACAATATATGTAGCACGCCTCAAAATATGTTCAATAATACAATACTCTACGTGATGTAACTGACTCCCTCTCACTGTATATATATATATATATATATATATATATAATATATATAATATATATATATATACATATATAATACATATATATATATATATATATATATATATTATATATATATATATATTTAGGAGTGCCACAAACACATAAACACCACATTTACGGCATTTTTTCGCATCGTTTTGGAACACAATGAATAAATATTATTAAATGCTATATTTATTAACAAATTTTTACTTGAGAAGATGCCTATGTTATCCTACAACAATTTTGTGATCACCAAACTTTACGTATTTGACTCCAACAGTGTGTCATATTAGTCCGAATATGGCCAATTGTACGTCAAAACCATAAAAATTGACATTTTTCAAATGGCCATTGCTCCGTAAATTTTTATCCAAAATACTTTGATATGAATAAGATGAAAAGTTGAAATCTCTCCTTTAAAAAGTTAGATTTTAATGATTTAATTATTTCACTGCAATCGGCTAAAATTGCGTCGCGCCCCATCACTCTTAGCGACTCATATTTGAACCGCACTGCTGTCCGATATCTTCATTAACTGTTAGGTTGCGTTGAACATATTTGTGGAGGCAACAAACGGGTTTGTAATTTACTACACTTTAAAGAACATTGTATGGCATTTGGAAGCCAATTATTTCTCTATTTACTTTACTATTTCTCTCTGTTTCGGTGCATTCAACAGTGCTCAAGTGATCAAGCCTGACGGCCTGCATCGCGAGCCTCCCGGGCTCGCGCCGCTGAAGGAAGCACTCTAATGCGTTCTGGAAAGCCACCCTTCCTTCTTTCAGATTTCTTTGGCAATTTTTCATTTTTTGCGATTTTCGAAAATTCATTGACTTTCATAGAATTATAACCCTCACCATTATTTGAAGCTGCTATTTGAGGACAGAGTTGAATCCAAAATTTTAGAGCCACTTTTGAGAAAATGTTGGAAATGTTAAGACGTCATGTAAAGTACCTCCATTAATCGAAATGTCTATTTCAAACTCAGAGGTTTTCTAATAGTTTTAAATCAGTTCTGCACCACGCCCACTTCCGCGGGCATTCTGCACTTACGATGCCCGCGAAGTGCAAGTAGTAGGTCGTAGGAAGCTTTTCGGGGAGGGGAGAAGACTTACGTTGCACGACGCGAGCATCGTAAGTGCAGAATGCAAGCGGGAGTTGTCGCGCATATATATATATATATATATATATATATATATATATATATATATATAGAGAGAGAGAGAGAGAGAGAGATAGAGAGAGAGAGATAAATATAGATATATAGATATACATACATATATATGCGCAATCTTTTGTCTTCATGAACGATCAAAAGACTTGTTAGATTCTCAAATATAATAGTATATAATATAATAATTATAATTCAGCTTACAGATCGCGTAAGCAATAGTATTCTACACCAGTAATGACGCATTACACCCGTAACCCATAAATTAAAAGCAGTTTCTAAGCAACTTTTCTACAACAAGTCAATATTTTAGCAAAGCTCACTCACAGCAATTTTGATTCCATTCAACTATCTATTCGGCTTGTAGCTGTATAAAGATTTCATGGCGGAATTATTATTTCCTGGTGATCGCTAATTTAAAATAATTGCAATTATCATGACTCACGTGACTTACTGCTTACAAATGTCAACAAATGGATCAACAAAGACGTCAAACAATTCTTCATCAATACGAAACAGTAATCGGTTCGGATAATGCGACAGAATGAATCACACAACCTATACAATAGGAACGATTGAATTTTGAGACCACAGATGCCAAGACTATGTTTATTGATAAAGGAAGTTTAATTAGTATTAATCGGAGGGATAAAACGCTTGCAAGCAAAATTGAAGAGACCGATGATCTCGACAACTCAATGTCTTTGTGTAAAATGGAATTGCTACGTTGGCAAAGAAATGACAAGTGCAATTAATGTGACTCACCAGAAGACTTGAATATTTTATGCCAATGTAGGAATCCTGACAGAAATTTGCAACTTCGCGCAACCATCGAGAGGCATTTACCGTCGAAAGTCGGCGCAGTGTAGATCAGTCCACCAGCGAGCATCGTGCTCCACTTCCGTAGTGCATTTCGTGTTACGGTGTCGTGACGATACCCGGCTGTCGTACGGTGAGAACATTGTGAACTTGTAAGTATATCTGTGAGTTGCTAAGATTTCGGGGTAGTTAACATGTGCATGGACCTAGGCATACCAAGAGACATCTCCTTATAAACCAACACTTGCAGGAAGAATCGGCAAGATGTCTGACGACAGCTCTTCTCCTCCAGCAAACGAAGTGGCAATAACAATTGAAATGGAAGATGTTGACCAGCAGAATGTTTCTCAAGGAGACGAAATGAATTCACAACAATGCTCAGAGTTGCAAGATGATTCAAACCCTGCGGTTAAAGACTCATCATCACCGAACAGCATCATCAACCGGGTAAGTGCTGTTGAACCGATTCTTCAAAAGGTATCCTCTACGCGAGAATGTTGAGCAAAACTGTTTAATGGGACAACCTAACTTTCTTCAAGTATTAAGCACTGGATTTTTGCAGACATGTCTATTATAAAACGAAACATAATGAGAAGGTGTCTTCGCTATGCATAATCCAATTTTAACACCATACGGAACGTATTTTAAATTCTATGGCAAAAACCTTGTCAAAAATTGCATGTTACTTCTGAAGAAGTGATTCTACAAACCTACAATTCATGTTCGTAAACATTCGAAATGTTGCCATAACATATTTCAGCACTTTTAGTTCACTAGATGCTAAAAAAATATTCTCACTACTATTGAAATACACGCAAGTATGTTAGTATTAAAATGTCAATAGTAGAAAAGGTTGACAAGCATTACATCACCAACTGGATTTTGATTTTTCATATTTCAATTTCCATGATAAATTTTAAATATTGTATAATTTTATGACGTTAAAAATGCGTATTTGGGATTTTAATTGAATCGAAACGGGATGAAATGCAAAATGAAATAAATACTGTTTTAATTACAGAACCATTTCTTCCACGCAAACCAATTAACTATTCACTGTGTGTAAATGTCCATTCAGGGTTGAGAAATGGCAAGGTTTTGTGAGGAAATTATTTGAACATTGTTGAAACATTTGTTTGCAAATGCAAATAGTTGAGCAAACATCTTGGTTGGTGGTCCTTAGGATGATTTTCAGCAGCCCACCTCCCTAACCGCTTATTGACTGATCCACATTTGCCGCCACATGCCAGAAGGGATCACATTTCATGCCATTCAGGTCAAAGTACGCAAAAAATTAAATTGAAGCAGTTTCAAAATTTCAAATGATATTCTATTGTTCGTTTGAAAAATATCAAATAAAAACAATAATTTTATAGGAAATTTAATTATCTGCATCATCTACTACGAGTGCATTGCTGTAAAATTAAGAACTAAGGTGTTTGCCGAAAAACGTGATACAAGAAAGCGTTCTTCGAAAATCTTTGAGTTTGGCTAGCAAATGAAACTTCAAAAATGAAACTTGAATGTAGTGAATAGAAAAACACAAATACAACCTCCTCGCAGTTTAAGAAATGGAGTTAACGGTCATTTTGAATATAGTAGTTTAATTTTTCGCCCTATAACGTCCGTGCCGGTAGTAAAAGTACTGTATTGTAATGTTGCGTCGGAAATAGAAGATATCTGGCCAAAAATCTTATCTTGTTACGAAAAAACTACATTTCATACTCTTGTATGAAGAAAATTACTCCTTTTAACGCATTATGCAGTCCAAATCTTCGTTTTGTGGGTCCTTGATACCGAAAAATTGATTGACAACAAAACTTCCGTTAGTCATTTTCTCAGTCTCAATTAATGTTAGAAATGGATATTTTTATTTTAGGGATACTTTAAATAATTCTTCTGCATTGTCAATTGAGTCGTAGAAAGGAAGAATGATTTAGGCTACAGGATTTCCAAAATTAACATTTTAATATGATTATGTAGTATATTATTTGCTTTCAATTTTTTATTTAACTTTATTTAATTATTTAACTCGCTAAAAGTCAGTTGCACGCATAAAGATGTGGCGCACGCCTCGTTTTCGTTGAAATCTCTAAATTCTCAAAATTACAAAAGTTCAGTTTTTTACGGTCTCCGCACAACTGAAATATTGAAGGCAGAGATTTTTTCCTTGATAAATTTTTGAAAGACATTTTGAAAAAAAGCCATGTACAATTTTTCTAAAATATGCGTTGTTTTCGCGTAATTTTGTGTGAAATAGACGCAATTTTTAAACAATTATATTCTGAAAAACGGCTCCTTTTTTATTTTTTCTTCGTATGAAAAAATTAAGGCAAAATTTGGCGTTGTTATCATTTTCGGCAGACACACTGAATTTCCGAAGTTTGCCAAATATTAGGACTGCAAAAGTAACATTGTCTCAACACCTCGAAGCAAAAATGTTAAAAAATAAATGAATACTTGCATCATTTAGTGCCGTTTCCTCATATACTTCCATGAAAATTGCGTTGCAGTATATTCAACTGTTCAAAAACTACAAAAGGTGCTGAAGTTACATTACTCATCTTGTCTATAAACACAGTAGAGTTGTCTCAGAATAAATGTTACAAATGTTAAGGACAAGTTACAAATGTTAAGGACAAGTAGGGAATCGAAAGTTATAACATTTTTGTCAATGAAAATATTGTGGGAAATTTGATATAAGGAACACATGGCATTTCCTCCTGACAGATAGGTAACCTTTCATGCACAGATGTTCCGGAGGTAAACGAAATCCCTTTGACTCCGGCAGAAGGTATAAAATATTTTTTAACATCGTTTACCTACAATATTTCAGTTAGAGATTCTTCTTTACGAAACTTCAATTTCAAAGATTAATTTTTCAAAACGGTCTGAACTATATATTTTTTAATTATATGCTCGGATAGATTAATTCACTATTAAGAGTATTGTATAGGTGATACTAAAATCTCAGAAATTACAAAAATCGCAATAGTGCAAATGTGTTTTCGAACCGATCCTACTCTTTCAATATTAGCAAAAGATTTATCATTCAAAGCTTTTTATTTTTCAATGTTAGAACTTTTAATTATTTCACACACATTCATTTCAAAATTTGAATGGTTTTGCCTAAATTTTAGTTAAGTCGTCTCAGTTGTCGAATAACGTTTCCTCAAAACGGCTACACATTTTACAACGTTGGTATTTATAGCACGAAACATTGTAACTATCACGACATAAGCGCCATTTTGTTTAAAACTATTGAAGCCTGAAAAATTAAACTATGTATTTTACATAGCAACATATGCGTTAACATTTACATTACCGTTTCATTTTATAATTTAATGCATATTTGTTATCACAATTATTTCAAATTATTTCTCAATAATTTTCTCCAATTTTCACAAGTATGTCATTGTACTCGTCCTACAATAATAATAACAGCTTTATTCATGAAGTCCGTACTACTGCATCATTGAATTTGGTTTGCAGAGACTAAGGGCATCGTTTTAATACCAGGGCCAGCAACGGTTTTTTATTTGATACTTTTTTGAGGATAGAGTACAACACCTTCCATTCAATTGCAGAAAAACCAATTTTATTGAAACTTTTCTATCAAAATTTAGAGGTGTGCATTTTTACGAAACTCTTGGACTTCGTTTGGTGAGGTATTTGAAAGAAATGGTTCAAGTACTGATGATGATACAAGTTGCAATATTGAATATGATATAATTTACCCTTTGCAAATTATAGGGAATGTGTGTGTTGTTGTAACACAATTAGTTGTAAAGTGAGTTTGTTAGGTAATTCATTTCTAAAGGCAAGCCACATTCAATCTTCATAAACCACCACTTCCCCTGTATAAAGACGCATGCCAACGAAATGATAAAATTTTGAGATCCTCTGAGAAACAACACATCTCCAGGATATAAGTGGGGCTACAAATGGCATTATTCTTATCCAAACGACAGTAACTTATCCATTTAGTATAGTTCGTTTGGTACTAAACATATTTTAGCTCTAAATGTAGAATGGCATGATGCGATCCTTTCCTTGACTGCACTAAGCAGTACTGCAATTATGAATAATGTTTTAAACGTTATTAATAAGATAGTAAAGACTATGGTCAGAATTTTTCTTAACATTTCACGTCACATTCTCTAGGTAAAACCCTATCTCGTCTTAAAGACGGTCCATGCCTCCATGGCATCCAAGTAGCTTTTCGCAGGATGATTGCAGCTTCAGACATCAACGCTATTGGGATGGCACATCTAAATTGAAATTGCTAAACGCATGGTTATTACATCCTTTAAATGAGCATGCTGTGATTTTTTTCATCATAAATGATATATTACTTAACATGAAATTTCAAAAGAATCTTACCATAGCATTCTCGTCAATAGAATCAAGTCCCATCACTGTCACGTGGAAGTAAACAACAGTGGGGTTTCCGTCCTTCTTTGGAGGCCGCATCTTGTCGTAGAGCTTTGCGTCCTCCGGCAGAATGTCGCTGAGGGAGAGGCTGGCGGAGAGCCTACAACAGGACGCGCTTTATAACTGAATGCACGCAGCAAGCGCATCGCTACCCCAACCGACAACCGGTGCCGTGGCCAACTCACAGTGGTTTTCTGAAGCATCCTTGGCACCTGTAGATTCTTATAAAAGAGCAAAGATCTTCCTTTTCGTAAGCAATGGCGATAATTAATATTGTACGTCTTATGGTACCACTTCTGGAGAAAGTTTGTGTAATACGCGTCAAGCTGGTTGATTCCCTCCCATACTGCTACATTATTGGAAGGGTTCGGGTGTAAATATGGTTCCTGCAAAATATCGATATTTTGCAGGAACTCGATATAGCAGTTATATTACTTCCTCCAAAATGTCGTATACCATTATTTACATCAAACACCCCTCCCATTTAATTCGTATTTCTAAACCTCTGCGTTGTTTTACACTTGCACATAATTCACCAAAAATTGATAGAGAGGAAGAAACGGTTGTGTCCAAATCAAAGTGACTAATTATAAAACTATCACATGTTTCTGCATAATTGGCGCACGTGACTTAACTCCGAATATTACATAAAAATGAAGTAATATTATAAAAATTCATTTAAGAATTTGAAAAACACTCTCTGGAAAGGTTCTAGAGCGGAAGCTTGGAGAGTTGGTATTCAAAGATAACTGTATCAAGGAACTATCACGGATTCAAACATTGCACACAGCTTAAAACTTTCATTAAGGAATATCTAAAACATGAAAATCAAATCATCAAAATGATAGCCGCAATATTCTACAGGAGCAGGTTATTTTTTCTTTGCTGTGGCTTTTAATACGGAGCATAACGCTCTGAAAAAAAGGAGGTCGCGCTATTGCGTGCACCATGGATAAGTTTAGAAATATTTAGAAACAATAATCAATAATACTTTTATTTTACTACTTATAGTATTCTCGATAAAAAATTAACACAATTTTGTTTATTTGTAATACGTATCAACGTAAAATATTGTATTACTTTAATTCCTTTCAAGATTAGTTTCATCCAACCCCTCGCCCAAGCGCGGGACCGTGCAATTTCTTTCTTAACTTCCCGATCAATTGTGCACCGTATTACATAAAACAGAAAGGAAAAAAACAATTATGTTTAATGGTTCCTGTAGGACAGGCATATCACACTGCCCGCCTGAGAAGTCCGGCGCTCCTGCGAGGTCGGGCAACTACGGGCAGACGTCGCTCTCGGTTCCCCTCCAAATCCAGAAACGGGTGTACACGCGCAAGCCGCAGTGGGGAAGCTAAGTAGTACAAAGTGCGCTCAAAGTCCCACGAAGAATGGTTGAAGTATACGAAAGTATGTTTGCCAGACGCTTACTACCAAACAACTGAGATTTCAATTATATTGCATAACTTAAATACTTATTATTGCTTTCTTGATTATTTTCTTCTTGAATTCTGCCTTGAAAAATATTTCTATCAACGGACAGAAATATGTTTGAATGGCAGATTATTTGCTTACTTTCGTTTCGTGTTACGTTTTATTAAAACATTCTGCTATTGGTTGTACGTAGCAAAACGCGAAATAATTTAGCAAGTCTCTCTTAAGGGCGGGCAGCTCTTCTAACAATATTTGTCTGTTAAACCTCCTAATGTTAATCTAATAAGTTTTATCAATTATTGAACTCCTATTTAAACACAATTAAAAAATCAAAATCCTGTCGATTCAAAATGTTTAATGTACCTTTAGTTGACATTTTGAAATATGACTGATGTATTCCATTTCAATGGTTAGTTTCTTTGCGTAAGTAGAGGACATGGAAATAATATCGGTAAATTTAATCAATAGCTGTCAACTGATTTCTCCAAAACACTGCCATTGGTCAGGTACCCAGCGACGTACCGCTCTCCCGGTGCAGTTTGTACAATTCTCACTTTTAAATCTTGCAGCTGTTGCTCTGCCCGCAGTACCCGCGATCTCTAGAAAGCTAGGTAAATTGCCCGCACCTTGACACGCCTACTGTAGGATTTTGCAGAGAATTTTGTTCATCATATTTTTGATACTTTTAATATTAGGTAGTAAAAGTCTGAAGCAATTCGAATTGCTAGAAGGTCGAATCCATCAAGGTCTCTTGTAAGTCCACAGCTATAGGAACGAGAGTATAAGACAATTAATTTTTCAATTTTGAGGACGTAAAACCTACGAATTATTATCTTCTACTTTCCTTAGTACATACTGTGTTTATATTACATTACAATGACATAAATTTGTTAAAAGAAATATAATGACAACATTTTGTTACTCATGATCCTCGGAGTACAACTAAAGCATCACGTTACAAAAATTTAGTGGAGACGTCATAAATTATCGCATTAAATTTGCTCTTGGAATATTTTTTCGAAAATTATTTCGATTTTATTTTACGAAAGTTATCTAAATATAAATATTTCGTGATCAATGTTTTTTTTCTTAGCGTGACCAAAAAAAAATACACTGTGCTTTAAATAAATTCATTTCATTTTTTTTATTTCTTCTTATCATCGCTCGTTATTCACAAATATAGACTCTTTAAATATATTTTTCACGGTCTTTTGAGACATGAAAATTCTGTAAGATCAAAATTTCATCTATTAAATTTCATTACTTAATAATTAACTTAACTATTTAACAGAAAATAAAGGTATAACTTAAACATGCATTTTGTTTTATTGATGAATTTCTAGACAAGACTCCCTACGAATAATAAACGTAATAATTCCGAACGAAAACATCTATTGTAATTGGAACGAACGACTTTAGGGAAGTTAATGATCATGAACATTTAGGAATCGATGGACAACAATCGTGTTTTGCTGAGATATTATAAAAATATCTATATTTATTGTCATTCTCAAACTTTATTTATTACAAGGGAAATTTGTTTTATTGGAACTACTGAATAACTTTGAAATGTAAACTATTGTAATGAAAGCATAACACTCGGAAATCTAACCGTGAAATAAAAGTAAATTTGCCCTCATGCAATTATATAATAGGCAATTTTAGGTTGATTTTGACTAAATACGACGACGCTCAGCTACAAGTGATGGAACATCAAAGAACTTACCAAACAGAAATAACAGTGACAGAAAATGAAAATATTATAAAAGAAAATACAACTAAAGTGCAACCATCTTGAAATTAGACAGATTAACGGAGATAAACACGTTATATCTGCTTAGCTTTAGTTTTTCTATGAAGCAAGTGTTCACCTTGAATAAATATTAGAGTATCTCTGTGAGAACTCTCGCCACTTCCGTTTACCAACAAATAACTTTTACATTAATCATAATGCAAAATTCTTTCTAAGGAAGCATTACGTCAGCTGGACACTACACCTTTAGTCCTCATAGGAAAACACCGGTTGCTTCACTCAAAATTGCAATTTTTGCTGCAAGATCCGAGTTAGCCAGCATTAAAATGTAGAGATTCGTATTTAATACTTCTAAGTGGAGCTTTCATCTTTCTCTCCTAGATCTTGATTTCAACCAAGTGACTACATAAGCAGGTGTTAACTGCTTCTAATAGGGCTGATACTACCTGTTAACTTAACAAGAATAGGCGAAATAGAATCTTAAAAATGTTGCATATGTTGCAGGCCCAAACATGTCGCACTTTCCTAATATCGCATATCGTAACTTGGCTCTGAAGATAGCTGTGATCAGGTGTCCAGATGATTCAATATGTTTCCATTGATGAGAATAGATCACGCTTAAAGTTTCACTAGGCTGCATAATTTTGTTGTTGATTTGTGTATTATCTAAATTTCTCCATCTATATTAATAATTAAATTACTCCTTCACTTTGTAACATACTACGTAAGGAGTGTGAAGGCTCACGATTGTAGTATGTAGAAGAGTAGTAGGTTAAGGATTAAAAAAATATTTTAGAGTTTGTTTACAAGTTACGATCCATGTATTCGCCATATTGTAAGGTTAGAAGGTTCCCAATATCACTAACTACCAAGTTATTAATACTATACAATGCTTAAATGGAAATGTTCTTTTGAGATGGATTTATTTATTTTCACAGATTTCAAAGCGTAATCAATCGGCAAATGGCAGATAAAACGAGCAAAGTGTGACCTTGCCAATAACAAGACTTCCCGACAAATCCGGGAAAAATAGCTCGTATTCTCTCCTTCAATGTGGCAGTAATCGTTCAGCAATCATATCTTCGTTTTAACGTGCAATAAAAATAATCTTCAATGTGTCCATAAATATTGCTTAGTATATTTATCTGAAGTTGAAGCAGAAGTCATATTTTAAAATATTGTTGAAAACTAATATTAGTATCTTTGATAATATAAGTAATAATACGCAAATCTAATAATAATGAACGACGTGCAAAAGCTGAACGTGGACTTCCCTCGTTGTCCGTACTACTAGTGAATTTCAATATTCTATTGTAAATATTATTCACTGAATTTCGAGATGGTAACACAAATTATATTCATAAATTTCAGGAAATATTTGTTTTCCATTTTGAATGTACACTAATATCTAAATCTTCAATATATGATCATGGCAAACACACATTTTCAATGCCTTTAGGTAATAAAAGCTCTACTGATGCTCATCAACTTAAAAGGAGTGCACTAGAGTACAAAACTAGGGTGAAAAATGGTAAAAGCATGCCTGTGAATTCGTTCTGTCTCGTGTAAGTATTCAGGGTACTCTTCGTAATGTCACCAATTATTATTATTAATTTTTACGTAATTACTTTTATTTTATTTCAGAAGTTACTTATGCAGATCATGGTTTTTATGTGAAAATTTTAGAATCGGTATTATTTAGACGCTCTGGGCACGTTTGGCAAAGCGAACGGAGAGCGCGGATTTAATTTTGGGTCTGCACTGACTCCATCGTCCTGGGTGCGGCTCCGGCCTTGGCTTCCTGGCTGGTGTCTTCCGACGACGCGACTATCGCGTCCAGAGATGTGCAGTCGGGAATTCTGGAACATAATA